AAGAATTTTGTTCCATTATCATTTTATTCATGTTTTCAGTGTTTTTAATGGATTGTTTCAATAATTCTTTAATGTCTGATGTCTCTTCTGTATTTGAACCTTCTGAGTTTGTATGTGTTTGTTTAATCACTTCGGCACAGCTGCTTTCTGATGCAGTGTGTTCGATTTCGTGTGGTATTTTATCTTCGTTGGCATTTAAGTTTAGTTTGTCGCAAAAACTTTCCTCACTTGCATCGATAGGTTGCACCGTGGCTTTTTTCAGTACTTTTTTCGTTGAAAATAATTTTTGTTGTAATAATTTCCATGTACGACATCCTTTGTAATTTGCTGAGTGCTTACCGTTGCAATTCACGCACCTGACGTTTTCTATTTTGCCCAGTTGGGGACAGATTAATGTTATATGTTTTTTTGCACATTTGACACAGGCAGGATCTCGGTTGCAATAATATTGTGTGTGTCCATAGGCTTGGCATCGTTTGCACTGTGGTATTTCTCTTTTCTTTTTCGGTGGTTCGATTTTGATCTTAGTGTTCATCAGGGTGTTAATATCATATATGCTTTTGTTATTTTTCTGTGGAGCTAGTTCAATGAAAAATAATGGTAGCGGCTCTTTAGTTTTGTACTTTGTTATATTGTTTATGGATCTTACTTCATGACCAAGTTTCTTTAATTCGTTTATTATTTTGTCTTTGTTCGATTTTGGATGAAGTCCTCTAATAACAATTTTGTAACTCTTCTCGCTTTTCTGTTGATACGTATGGTATCTCACGAATTCGTATTTTAATGCATTTATTACCCAGCTGAATGCTTCTGGCATTCTAGTGGTAATTTGAACTTTAATTTGATTATCCTTGAGTTGTTTAATTATGTAGTTATCCTGTCCAGCAAATTTATCTAACAATTCGAGCAGAGGGTCGATGTTTTTCGCTTCTATGAATATAGGTGGTGGTTTTACTCCTTTTTCTTTTTCTATTTTGTCTGCAATGTTTTGTGGTTTAGGTGAATCGTCAAGTAAATTATAAGAGTTGCTAATAGGTGTGTTTTGTAACCATTTTGTTGGAGTTGGGACGGAAGGGTTGTTGTATTGTTTTGTGTAATTTATAATATAAAATATATAAATTATACAGATATATAAATAATATAAAATTGATTAACACAGAGATTAGTGATTTCATAACAAAGTCATTTTAAATTGAAATTTGAAAATTAAATATAAAACACCCGTAGTATATAAAAAGCATCGTATGGAAATAAACTATAGTCGCCCATTATAGTGAAAATGCTAATATTATACTATGTTACATTAAGTTTAATAGATTCCTATAAATATGAAACAATTAATAGATCTTACCAACATATAACTTTAGTTCTTTCACTTCTGGTTCACGTGGCATATGGTTTAAACTCTTATATGAGACAGTTGATTTACGTATTTTTTCTTGTTCTTTTCCTCCAGATTGTTGAGCCAATCGAGCTTTAGCAATTTCATTCAACTGTTGAGCTAACTCTTTTTGATGTTGTTTTCTCTTTTCCTCTGAACTATGTTCCGTTCTTAACTTGGATTCTATGACAGCTGTTCTTTTACCTCTACCCAATATCTCAGGTTTAGGCTCGTTTTCTTTGCCACTGCCTTCTTCCTCTTCTTCTTCATCGTCTTTAACATATATACCTACATTTTTGACTTTCTTCTTTGAAGGTGTTAAATTTGTAGCAGGTTGACCCTAAAATATCAAAACATCAAATAATTTACTAACATTTATCTTTTGTTGTCTCTTTACAATTTGAAACATTTAATATTACCTCATTGACCATAACAGTATCGCCAATAAAAAGAGCATATACTTTTCCTTCTTTCTCAGTAGCATCTGGATTTGAAAGATTGCTTAAACCTACGTTGATGTTAAACACCATACCCTTCTTTGCCAATGCATGTGTTTTTGGACCTATCAATAATGAACTTTCTCTGAATTCAATACCCATTGCAAATCCGAAGTTTTTAGTCAAGTGATCCAACATATCAGGTTTCTCATCTTTAACAAATTTTACACCTGTCTCATATACATCGCTTAACTTTATACCAGCAACGAGCTTTTTCAATATTTCTTCTTCTAATTGTAAAAGAAAATTGTAATTATCCTGAAATGATTTATATATCACATTTATGTTATACCTATATATATATAATCGCATTTTTAAATGTTAGCTCATACCTCTATTGTCTTTGTGGGGTTAACTAATAACGTCCTAACTATATTCGAACAATAAGATTTGTAACGTGCTCCTAAAGAACAAACGATCACACCAAAGTGTAGAATATTTTTATCACTAACTACACTAAACTTTAAGGAATAGTTTCCACCACTTTGTATAATAGCTGGATAACACATATCAACATGATTTATGTCAACTCCAGTAACATATTTTTTATTTGTTATAGCAGTATCCACACCTTCCGCTAGTTTTGAATGTTTGACTTTCTAAAAAACATTGAAATTTATTAATATTTACACATAGGACAAATATACTTTATAAAATATATAATAAATATATAATGTGTGTGACATACTTTATCGGAATCAATAATTTCCATAATTTGATCTTTAAGGTACTTAGTAAATACGTCAACAGACACTAAACAAGCTTTCTTTACGGTTAAAATTTCAATGTCTTCTTTTGGACACATTAAGTATGCTGCGGCAGCACTTACATCAACCTAATTTAATTAAAAATTACAGATCTGTTATCTATATATATATATAACGCATTATAAAGAAATAAAATAATAAATTATACCGTTTCAAACGATTCAGATCTCAAAGATGCTCTCCATGCATCCATGAAGGCACCTGGGTAGTTTTCTTTTGAAAATACACCCAATGTTTTACCTTTCTTACTTTGTTTTATTACATCAATAAGTTTGGTAAAATTAGCTTTGTCTTCGTCACTCTGGAATATGTTCACAAATACATACATATTTCATTCAAATTTAATCTAGATAAGAGTAAAATTATAAGATATATAAAATTTGCATACCCTATCTCTAACAAGCAACATAACCGGAGGCACACCTGTGTCTTCTACTTTTTGATTCTCCACTTTCCGCAAAAATTCAATTTTGTTTTTGCTTGCTAAAAAGTAAATAAACTCATCGGCCAAAACCATTATTGTATCTGTAAGCTCGTAACTGAGTAACCATGTCTACAATCAAACAAACACAATGTAATAATTATGGTATAAAGATATATACATAAAAGATAAATGATATATAAATGATTATATAAATTTAATAGATATATGCATAAAAAATATTTAGTATCTAGTATTTATGTATTGTTCAAATTATTAGCTTCTAAACGTACAACTTATAAAATAATTTCTCCTATTAGAATTGTGAATTCTATGATAATAAGAATGAATCATAAAATAATAAACTTACTTGCAATGCTGCAGATTTACTATAAACGATATTATCATCTTTACCTACAGCAGAAACTAGACAATCCATTTTACTGAAACTGTCATCAGTACCAGTTTCCCCATCCTAAGAAAAAAACAAATTTTGTTATTAAAACATTTTCATTGTTTGGAATTTGTTTTTACTACATAATAGATATAATAATTATCGGCCTTACTTTCCATGAAGTGTAAAGACGCTTCATGCGTCGAAAAAACGTTTCTTTGTCAAGTGATACGTTTGCCATATCTTGTTTTCAACTTGCTAAATGTTGCGCACGCTGTAACGAAATCAATTCGACATTAAATTACGATGAAAATTTGTTACGATAATAACGTACAACAAAATATTATTAATACACTATTAAGTATATAAATTCTATTACATTTTCTTTCTCATCTCTTGCGAACCCGAAATGCTATTAAATTTCGTCTTTCAACGAGGATATGGCGGGATTTATAACCAAACCGCAAAATTACAATCCACGAACTACAAGCCACGCGGCGGGAATAATTTTGTGCGTAGTGTCTGTTTTATGGTTTAGAAACGGTCAAGCAAGCCATCCCCCATTTTCATATCGTCAACGGTAAGAAACAACGAATAATACCGGTTATTGGTCAAACCTTATTGGTTAATTGAAAAAAGATCTATGACAAAGAACCAATCAGATTCAAACAAATATTAACAAAATATTCAAATGTTCATTTGATTTTTGTATATTATATTAACATTATTAAAAATATTTATATTTTAATTTTTGAATATTTAATAAAAATACATATAGAACAAATATCTAAATAAAAAGTCCTATGCATTTATATATCGTATTAAATAAATCAGCTGGATGAACGATATTGAAAATGATTGGAGAATTTTATCTTACTTCCGGTAAAATTAACCAATGAATGTAGAGTATCATAGGAATCAATCAAGTCAACTGTGCGTCTATTATTGGAAATAAGGAAAAAATTGACCCATATTACCTAGCTTTGGTAAAATGTTACAAGAATTGCTTAATTCTTGTTTGTATTCTTAATCTTTCTAAATGAATGACAGTCTATGGTTGATTGTCTGCCTAATATATATGTGTGTATATATATATGTTACAAATGACTTATAAACTTCTATCTCTTGATAGTTTTCTATCGAAGGTTGAAACGTCTCTTTTTACAAAAATAATGTTATAACCTGTTAAGTACAAAATTCTTGAAATAGGTTATTTTATGTAAACTGTTGTATGCCAATAATGCGTCCATTACTTTAACAATGGTGAAATTTATCAAACGTTCATGACAATAATAACTTAATAAATGTAATTATTTATTTTGATTGTACATTAATATTATACAAATGAAATAGTGAGTAAAGTGGTGAAACAAATATTATGTAGTCGTATTTGATTTTTAAATTATTTTCCCAGTGATCGAAATTCATCGTATCGAATATATACATTGTGGTATAATAATGTTCTTTTTGTTTTTGTTTTGCTTATTGTTATAGATGATAAGTGATTGACCATAAGAAAAAAAGTAGCCTTAAATGCAGAAATATAAGAAAAAATTTAAAAAAAAAAAAAACTTTAGTAAAAACTTCAATGATTATTAAAAATAATATTTATACGGCACTGTGGTTCATTCTAGCCCTTTAAAATCTAAGACAGTTGTTTTATATCGTGTCAACTAATTATATCTGATAAACTCATTAGAGTGTACCACAGCGTATGATGAATGTAAGTATAAATTATTATTATTATTATTATTATTATTATTATAAATTATTAATAACAAAAATTATATGTTGATTGTGTTGTTTGTAATCATTGTACATTTAAATTTGTTTAACTTCAATTGAAATATTTCTATTTTTTCTTTTTCTTTTTGTTTGAACTAATTTATTAAATTTTTTTTTATACAAATATTATATTTTTTGCTGTAAATCTATTTTCGTATTACTATATTCTACATTGTTCTGGCACATGGTTGGCATCAATTTGCTTATGTAATCTTGTTGAAATATAGACGTAAAATTTTTATAAATATTCCTCTTTTATTATGTTTAGTGAATGTAATGTATATATTCATATATTTGCATGTTATATCTATATATTACAAAAAAAATTAAATGTATAGATAATTCATAAAAATATTATTAAATGTTATTGACTAAAATACTTTGTAATATAGGTAGGTGGTATAGCACAAAAGTGGTGTCAAGAAGGTGGCTGACACGTATTCAAATTATTGAAATGATTGAAAGTGTATCTCGTAGAGCATTGAGTGGCTCCAGTGGGAGCTACCACGTTCGTGGTGCTGAATTAGCACGAAACCGTAGGTTAAAATCTTTATCTGCAACAGTTATTTTTCTTGATGATTCTCAACATACATTTCAACTGGATGTAAGTTCATTAGTTATATTTGTTATTTTTCTCATCCAAAAATGTACAAAATATTATAATATTCAAATTAATGATTTACAGAAAAGAGCAAAAGGACAAACCTTATTAGATTTGGTGTTTCATCACTTAGAACTTGTGGAGAAAGATTATTTTGGCCTACAATATTCAGAAAATGGTACTACAGCAACAACCACAGCAACAACAACAACAACTACAACAACAACAACAGCTACAACTACACCAGATACGATGGTAAATCTTTTATTAACTTTGTTGACAAATATGCATCATAAATATTTTACTTCAGGTATCATTCTTTATCATTTTAGAGATGGTTAGACCCTACAAAACCAATGAAGAAGCAGATAAGAAGTAAGGGTAAAGATCATAATTCCATACTTAATATTTGATTATTGTAATATATCTTTCATTTGATAATAATTTACATCACACACATTAATAAAAATACTTACATAAAATAATGAATATTAATATATATTATATGTAAACTTAAAGATGTATAAATTATAGAGAAATTTATAATAATTATCTATTTCAGGTGGACAATTTTTTTTCAGAGTAAAATTTTATGTATCAGACCCTAGTAAGCTACAAGAAGAATATACCAGATATCAGTTTTATTTACAAATACGAAAGGATATTCTTCTAGGAAAACTACAAGTACCACCAAGTACTGCTTGTCTTATAGCAAGTTATACTGTTCAGTGTAAGTACATTTGGTTTTTTTTTCTATATTAATTTACTTTAATTTACATTTAAATAAACAGGATAACAAAATCAACATTTAAATATTATTTTGAATGCAATTTGCAGCAGAATTAGGCGATTATCATCCAGATGAACATGGGCCAGGATATCTTTCACATTTACAATTAATACCAGGACAAACAGAAGAGATGGAGAAAAAAATCGCGGAGTTACATAAACTTCATAAGTATATAGATGATCAATTATTTTGATTAATACATTTTTAAAATTATCTACACTGTTATTCTTGTTTTTTATATGTATATTTTATTTCTAGAGGGCAATTACCAGCTGATGCAGAATTTAATTTTTTGGATCATGCAAAACGGCTTGATATGTATGGAGTAGAATTACATAAAGCAAGGGTAAGTAACTCGGTATATTTTATATGCTATATCTAAATATTTTCTTAAGATTAATCTAATGATATCTAATGATAATAATATAATAATTATATTTTTTTTAGGATTCAACAAATAAAGAAATACAATTAGGTGTTACGTCAATAGGTTTAGTAGTATTTCAAAATGGTATAAAAATTAATGTATTTTCATGGTCTAAAATTGTAAAAATTTCATTCAAACGTAAACAATTTTTTATACAACTTAGAAGAGAACAGGTATACCTAAGAAAATTCTATACGCGACTTGTATGTGTACAGCAGTAAAATGAAATACTATTATTACTACTTGACATTAAGTGTTTAATGAAATATATTATTTTATTTACAGTCAGAAAACTATGATACTTTATTAGGATTCAATATGCAAACTTATCGTAGTTCTAAAAATTTATGGAAAGCTTGTGTCGAACATCATACATTCTTTAGACTTCACAGTCCAAAATTACGACCAAGGCGATTTCCACTTACATTAAGTAGTAGATTTACTTATTCAGGACGTACAGAATTTCAAACTGTTGAAGATGGAAAACACAGGGCACGAGTTGAAAGAACATTCATCAGGTAATGGCGAAACAATCACAAAATCATATGATAATTATCTTCAGTATTAAGAAATACTTCTTTTGATTATTCCGCAGATCTCCAAGTAAACGTTTGGTACATGGTGTTGCAACTGCTCCTATTATCGAAGATAAAGGAAAAATTATAATTCCACCTGGTAGACCGCCTCGACCTTATGATAATAAGGTGCAATCTTTAGGTGCTCGTGAACCTCGACAAGCGTGGGGCGAAGGGAACCAAAGTGATGAGTTAGAAATGTTTCCATTTCTTTTTCTTTCTTTCCTTATTTTCTTGTATTACAATTTATTTGTATTTACAGCGAAGGTGGTTTTTTGTCTCTTAGAGAAGATTTAACAGGAACTCATACACAAAACAATGCATTTTCTCCAATGTTAGGGTCTCGAGTACTTAGTTATGCAGATGATGATACAATTATTGAAAAGAATATTTATGATCTTCCTGACTACAGTGAACCAACAAGTTCGCCACCTCCGCAGGTGTGTGAATTAATTAGATAAATAATTATATTAAATATATATTCAAATAAATGTAATGGTAAACAAAAAAATTAAACATTTTAGATATTGGAAGAAGGATTAGTTACAATAACATTGACACCTGACGAACAAGGCCGTTTTGGTTTTAATGTAAAGGGTGGATTAGATCTTGATATGCCTATTTTAGTATCTCGGGTTGCACCAAACACGCCTGCTGATCGTTATTATCCAAAATTGAATGAAGGAGATCAAGTTAAAATTTATAATATTATTTTTTTAATCAAATAATATTTTATTGATAAATAATTTATTTAATGTATGTTGTATCTAGGTTGTTTTTATTAATGGGATTGATGTAAATGGTTTACTGCACGAACATGTTGTGAATTTGATTCGCCAGTCACGTGATTCTGGTACAGGAGAACTTACATTAACAGTTAGACCTAACGCATTGTATAACGCATTAGCTGGAACTGATGAAACATCTGAAGAAGAACCTCCTTACAGGTATATGCAAGGGATTAATTAAAAAAAAAAAAAATCAAATCCTATTTCTAATAATTTATAAGATTGATCACAGTTCATAATACACTTAATAATTAATTATCAAGTCTTGCATATATATAGCTTATACACTAATAAATTGAGATCTCTTTTGTAGTTAAGATTTATAGGTTTTTTTCATGATATGTTACAAGGTATGTACCTGATGCACCACATGCAGCCGTTGGTTCTGATGCATTAGCGCAATCAATGTTGCTTCTTGCCGATGGTCTTGCTAGTGGAGCCTTAATTGCACAATACGAACAATTATATAGAAAAAATCCTGAATTGACGTCTCTCGAATCTAAGAAACCAGAGAATCAGAACAAAAATCGTTATCGTGACATTTCACCATGTATGTATAATTGATGTCAGATATATTAATTAATATTCAAATATTTCTTTCTATTTATATATTACTTTATATAAAACATTATCATTATTATTCTGTTAATTATGTCATCTAGATGATGTTACGAGAGTTATTTTGAGATCCGGAAATGGTAATTACATCAACGCCAATTATGTAAATATGGAAATACCAGGATCAGGAATTATTAACAGATATATCGCTACACAAGGGCCTTTGTCAACCACCGTTGCAGATTTCTGGCAAATGGTTTTAGAAGCTGATAGTACTCTCGTTGTAATGTTAACAACTTTAGTTGAACGAGGTCGAGCAAAATGTCATCAATATTGGCCTGCTGTAAATGAAACTCTTAGTTTTAGAAATCTTACACTTAAATGTACGGTAGAAAATGTAGAAGATACGTTCATTTTTCGTGAGTTTATACTTAGGGACATTAATGTAAGTAGATTTTGTATTATTTATAATTCTCACAAGAAGAAGGAATTCAGTAATGATTATATTGTTTTGTTATTTATAGAATGGGGAAGAAAGGGATATAACACATATGCAATATTGCAGTTGGCCAGATCATGGTGTACCCAGTGATTGGAAACAATTTACTACGTTTACAGAAAAAGTTAGAGCAGCACGTACAGGCATGGTAGAGCCAGCTGTTGTTCATTGTTCTGCTGGAATAGGCAGAACAGGAGTTTTGGTATTAATGGAAACTGCATTATGCCTTATCGAAGCCAACCAACCAGTTTATCCATTGGATATCGTACGTTCTATGCGCGATCAAAGAGCAATGATGATCCAGAATGCTGTAAGTTATATATATATATATATATTTTTTTTTTAAATCTATCATTCAAACATATAATTAAAACTTTGTATTTGTTAGTATTATTGTAGGAATACGCTTATTATCATTTGTACCTATTGGGGTGCAATGATATTTCATAGTATTTCTATTATTCATTACAGAGTCAATATAGATTTGTATGTGAAGCGGTTCACAAAGCTTACAACGAGGGTATAGCTAAACCACTACCAGAATTCAGTAGATGAAGATAAATATAAAACACATTTTAATTGTTTACTCTTTAATATCTCTTAGTAAAGTTACAATTTCTAATCTTGATATAACATAAATTTGTTCTTTTTTTTTTATAGAAAAATTAACTAATACAAAAATCATTAAGGTTTTTAAGTTTTCGGTGCATTATATATACATATATACGCAATCATGCGTAAATATATACATCACTATTGAAAATTTGAACAAATTCATAATATAAAAAGTGGTTTATATCAAATTTTATAATTGTTCGAGTGTTGTATTTAAATGGAAAAAATTATTATAAGTATAGAAACAAATCTTTCGGAACTAATTACCATTCTATGCCTCATATATAAAACAAAAAAAAAAAGGGATATTTAAAAGGTATTATTACAGTATAAAAAAGAGAAATGAAACATTAGAAAATTTATAACTGCTTTCTAACAAAAAAAAAAAAGATACTCAAAAATATAATTTCTAGGTTGCATACATTGAGTATGCATATATTTTCTGCGATAATATTACAATTGTATAATGTAATCTCATTAATATACAGTGAAACAAACATATATTTTAGATAAATTAAGCCAAAATATTTTCAAAACATTACTATAAGCCATTCTAATCTTAATCTGAATATAAAATTTGTCATATTATTATACACAATAATAATTAAAGTATTATATAAGCGTAATAGAATATAAGAATTGAAAATTGTAGTAATTGTACATCAGAGTACTGAAGAGATTTTGAAAAACGTCCAAATGTTTAAAATTTCATTATTTTCATCTAACGTAATAATACAATATTTATAAAAATAATTCAAACATGTCCAAAAATTGTAGTTTATATATTTCAATAATACACTCTACGAAGTATTAGAAATTTTACAAAAAAAAAAAAAAAAGCTAATGTATTATTACTTCATTATAATAGTTTTGAAAGTAAACTTATCATCACGTATATAATAACTATTTATCTTCAGTATATGAGAAACTTTTACATACAGCAAAACCGTAACTGAATCAAAAATTTAAAACATACTGCATATCATATTTACAACAGCAAAAGGAACAAAAAAAAAAACAAACAAAAGTCACACGAAATTAATAAGGTAACATCATTTTTTAATCCACACAATAGTGCCTTCTATGTATGCACTGAAAACTTATGAAAGAACAACATATATATATATATCCATCCAATTTAATATATAGTAAAATTTCCATTGATTATACTTTTTTTTTTTTCTTTTTTTTTAACAATCATAACATTTTGATTACTACAATCATGTTATAATCATTCAATGTATATTTTTGTATAATTATTTATATTCTTTTGTAACTTATCTTTCAATAATCATGTAAATGTACATATATATTGCATCTTACCATATTATTTAAATAGTAATGATATATCCAAACTATGTTATTAAAATAACAAAAACATTGCAATAAAATTATATAAGAATATTAACACACTGAGTTTTATAAACATGTGATATATAAAAATATACTTACAAATTAATTCAATAACACACAGTATCACATATAAAATACTTATTAATTTTACATATTAAACAAAATAAAAGCAATTTACCAAGCAAAAAAAAAATTAAATAAATTTTACTGCGCATTAATATTGATACAGCTAAAATATACGAACTTATAATAAATTGTAGTATTTTATATTGTATTACAGAGTGATAGAGTTGATTTTACTACATTAATAAAATGTCTTACAATTTTTAACTCAAGTTTTCATTGAAGATTACCGTTGCTTAATATTACCTTTATGCACACATAATATAATTATAATTAATTAGAGTTAGGAGACTACAAAGCTTAGATATCATATTTTTCATGGTAATATGTAAGATATTTTAGTAAACATAAATATATTAAATAATTTCTTTTTTTATATATACACAATTCCAGTATATATATATCATGATTTTTAAATATCAAAATATAGATATTGATAATTTATTCTTGTTATTTTTATTTGTACTTTGAATTGTAAAACTAAGGTATTTTACTATACACTGTTCTTATACTATTTCTTTCTTATTTTATTTTTTTTTTTTTTTTTTATAACATTAGACATGCCATTAATTTAATGCAAGCAAATAAACTAAATAGAGTTGTGCAGTGAAATTATTGCTTATTTTTTAAGCATTAGTACGATTGTAACATCATTATCAGTATCTATCAATGAACAAGTTTAAATAAAAACAGAATAAGATCTATTTTTCAAAGAAGATATTTTCATCATGACATCACTGAATTCGTCGAAGAAGTAAATTACAAGATGATTTACATATCAAAAAGAATGGGCCTTCTTGTCCTGGCAAGTATGTCGATGGAATAATATGATACATTCCAGCTGGTACTTTTTCTAATTCTAGATAAGCAAATCCTGGCCTAAAATATTAGATATTTTAATACTTTTCGAAAATAAAAAAATAAAAGTAAAACTTAAGATTCTATATGTAGTATTGATTTTCTTTTCACGACGATCTTCATTAAATATAATGAATTATTTGTTAATTATACTAACCGAAATGAACCAGAATTTTTGGATTTAAACACCTCTGCATTTGAATTATTAACAGTAACTGTAACAATGTCAAAACCTATTTGATATTCCTTAGGTCCTTTTAAAATAATCAATACATAATTATTATCCTTAGAACTTTCTAGATCAAGTTGATAATGCGGATTATTGGGATAAGTTGCGTGATTGGAACATCCCCCTGCTGAAATCCCTTTCCATTGACCATCTGTAATCTGAAATATTTATTTTTTTTATGACATTACATATATATATATATATATTGTATACAAGTAAAATTATAATTGTTGTATGAAAATAATTCTAATAAAATAACTTATAATTTACCTCTTTTTCACATTTGTATAACTGAGGTATTTGCCATAATTTAAAAGGACATGTTGCATATGCACGTAAAGTGTAATATATCGTTTGCGTTTTTTCATATTGTGATATAACTAAAGTATAACGCGTATCACTGTCATTTTCTAATTTTATTTTACAAAGATAATGTGGACTATTTATCCTTATTCCTTGAATATATGGCGGAGGATCATCTAACAAAATTTATAATATGTTAATATATATATATATATATATATATATAGTATGTTATAATAGTTATATTTTTTATATCATAACATGTATATATTTTTTATATTTATTAATTATCTCTTATTTACCTGGATAATACACTCTTTTGCCATTATTCCGGTATACTAATACTGTGATGTATTCTTTATTTTCTCGAAAATCAGCTATATCAGTAATATGTCTTGTCAAGAGAATCCATACTGCTCCTGTAGTATTACTTTGCACTTCAAGTAAAAATTGTGGATTATCGCCTATATTATATACGTCTTTTACTGGGCCTATTCCGGCATTCCACATCCTATAGAAAAAATAATTATTATAAACAGTGCTTTTTCTATAAAAAAAAAAAAAAGAAAGGTGTAACGTTAAACTTACTGATGAATACAGTAAGTATAATTGAATAAACCAGGATTCCAATTAATAAGAAAGACAACAAAAAATTGACATATGCTGTCATAGTCAATCCAAAATACTCCGTTATCCAATTGTGATGCAGAATCTGGATCATAATTCAATAATTCTTTTAACTCACGAGTCCAATGATTTGTATCTAATTCAGAGTAATTTCCTTTCCATCTCAAATAAGACCATGGATTTTTCAATTGAAAAAGTCTAACTCCCTAAACAAGATGATTATTAATATAATAATGTGATACTCATTTTAAAATACAAAATATATCTTTATATATTTATCTAATAAGTTACATATTAATATCCATATAAATGATAATAAAGAAAGACTTACATTTATTTCTCTAACATCTAATACTGCATAAGCATGAGTAGGCACAAGACCTGCTCTCTCCGCTTCAACATCTGACAGTTGTCCAGTACCAACTGTGACAAGCATGTCACCCTTATGTAATCTCAATCTTAGAGTTTCAAAGAAACCATCTTTATTAAAATCTGGATCATCTGGTTTGATAGCATACCTTTCAGGTATCCAACCAGTCAAGGCATGCAAATCAATATTCTATAATATTATATTTTGTATATTTTATAAACGAATTTTATCTATGCATTTAATAGTATTTATCTTAAATTAATAAATATATTGTAATTATTAAAAAAAAAAATTCATTCGTTTTAAATAAAAAGATAAAAACACTTACACTACCAGATCCAGGAAAATCATAACCACCCATTACTTTCATATATGCTTTCTCTAATAAAGAAACCCACAGTTCACCACGATTGTTAGAGTATGAGCAAAGTAATTGATTGTGTCGATTTACAGGTAACAAATCATCTATTATTACTTTACGAGGAATACCATTAATGTGTAATTTCACCATATACTTCCCTAATGTAAAATTAGAGATAGATTTTTTTTTTCATTTCTTTTGGTATCAAAATAACAAATGTATATACATTATTGTAAATATTTTACCAAATGGATTGTAAACTGGTTCGTTATTCCTATTTTTTGGATAAATAATAGATGTGATAAGTCTGCGACCAAATCTCTTTTCGTATTGAGCACTGACAGCAAGAGAAGCCACAAATGAACAATCAGATATGACCTAAAATATAATAAAATAAATATCACAATTATTATATTTTCATATAATACAAATTATAGTTGTGTGTGTAGAATTGTATTTATTAATATTATTAATATAACTGACAGTTTGTTGAATGCTGTAATAGCTAACATAACGTCCCATCAACATCTTAGGTTCAGAATATAATTCTTCTGGTCGACACCATCTTGCAAAAGATGCTTTTTGTTTAGGAGCTAATGCCAATAATCCATCTTTATCAGTAAATGGTATAGCATATTGAAATCTCTCTAATAAATCAACATCCATAAAAGGTACAAATTCTTTATCATTTATATGAGAACTATGAAGTAAAACTTTTTTTTCCTCATCTGTATAAGTAGTACTACCACCTGCTATTTTAAGATGTGCACTATTACCACGGTGCAATGAGGGTCTTGTTTGATGTCCTAAAAATGTATCTTGTAAATAATGTATATTAAAATGTTCAATAGTTATGTTTTATATGAACAATATTATATATTATGATATAATTACTTGCATTTGTAGTAGAAGATTGTAACGATGGAAGTGTATCTGAAGGATCATCATTAGGAACAGGTTGTAAATTTTGAAGAGATTTAATGATATCATCTTGATCATCATCATCATTATTATCATTTTGTTGTTTAATACCTTTTAAAGATTCAGCTCTTTCAAGAGCAAGTCGGATTAAATTATTTAACTTTATTTTTATTTCCGAAGTAGTTACTTTCTATATATGAAACAGATATAAATATATTTTGGTATATTTATATTTTGTTAAAAAAAAAAAAAAAAAAACATAATTAATTTAAACTTACTATACTAAGACCCAATTCAGCAGCGTCCGTGTATAATTTCATAGCAACATCTTTGACACCTGCTTCATCAGCATCAAGTGCTTGACTCATCAAAAATTCACATCTATGAAGATCAGACTTTTGTTGACTAATAGTATCATGTGTTTCATCTTTCACATTAACTATAAGTTTTGCAGTTTAAAATTAACTATTACTTAATGTTTCTATTATTTAATAATTATAATATAAATTATTATCTTTATTTGTAAGAATATATTTACTTAATTGTTGAATTGCAGATATTCTTTCTCGATAATCTGCAATCTTCTGTTCATATGCAACATTTAATGATAATCCATCAAGAGATTTTACTGCTATATCATAATAATATAGAGCTTGTTTATATTGTCCATTTCTATCAAATTGTACAGCTCTTTGAGCAGCAACTAATGCACTTTCTGGTATGTTAGCCATTTTATTATTTATTATCGCAATATTGAATTTCACTAAAATTATTTCACATAACACCAACAAAGAAGAGAATGACAATTCTTCCCAGTCTCATTTAATGATTAAAATAATTAATGCTCTTTATAGGTTATGTATGTATATATATATATATATTGTTTTGATAGAATTTATAAACACAAACACTTTTACCTAATGATATCAAATACAATAGATAATTGGACCACCAAATACCATTATTATTGCTGTTTTATCTAAAACAAATATAAATATATATTTAATGATCATTAATGTTATTATATAAATAGTATTGTTGTCTCTGTCATATAGGTTATCTTTTCATATCCACTTCAAATTTTTAAAAATATTTTCATTTACATTGAATATAATAATAATTATATATATATATTTATTTATTTAGATAATTATTTAATAAAATATATTTATAAGAAACATATTATTAAAATAAATTCGATTTTATTTATTTTTTTTTTATATAATATATAAATAGATAAACAAAATAACATTTTTCTCTTATTTCGCTTTTAATGTTACTATTAACTATTTGGACTGTAAAAAGTAAAATGTATATATATGTATATATATGTATATATATAGTATATATATTATTGTTATTATTTATATAAATTTATCATTGTTGGAAAAAGATTTTCTTTTAAAATAATTGATCATTTCTAATTACTTAATTATCAAAATGAAAATCGAAACAATCTAATTTCCCACAAAAAATGTTTACGCAAACGCAACAACAACAACAAAATAAATTACGCCATCACTGCTCCGTACTTAACTACATGTTGGCTTGTGTTTACTACTTAATCGACGAAGATATAATATATATTACCACAAATATTAAAGAATGATTTGAATTCTTTTCAAACGTTTGGCACTCTGGTAGTTGTGCATGGCGTAACTTAAACTTAATCTGCTCGTAATAATCTCCTGACCGTTTTTAATTGTACGTGTAAACACATATTACTGCATTTGGAATTTGAACATGTAACTGCTTGTTATAACTTATTATAAAAATAACAATATATTTTATCATTTTTCTCATCTATATAGTTTTTAACCTTTTTTTTTTTTGACAGATACTATGCCACCAAATAGTTAGAAAATTCAAACGATATATTATAAATTTCGAATAAACATAAAATATATTATACTATTAAATGGTTATTCAGAAAAGATGAATGAAAATTTATTTTATTAATACTATCTTTCAAGGAAATATTTCTATTTTAGTTTAATCTGGTATAACAAATAATGTGTTTTGGATAATAATACGGATATTTTAATTCTTTTCATAATTTCAAATAACAAGTTTTAATAATATTCATAAAATTCAATAAAATTACAAAATGTTGTGGAAAAGTAGAGGTCAAACAGAAGCAACGGATTGAGATACAGTCGTTGTACCAATATTTGAAGATAGGATGGTTTTGCAGAAAGTTACTGGACGTTTTTTGAAAGGTTTCAGTAATGTGGCAGTTAGACAATGTAATTGTAATAACAACAAGATTCAAAATCGACTGTATGCTACAGTATCAAGGCTTACACCTCAAGAGGTAATGAATGATTTGTTTTCATATTTCCTATATCAAAAAAATATAAAAATATTTATTGTTATAGGTTACTACTATTTTACAAGCCAATGAATTTACCAAAGAATTTACTGGTTCATCTTCTGTGAAGTATTACGATTCTAATCAGTTGGCATCTAATAATCCTATAGAGGATACACGATCTGAAGCACAATGTTTATTGACTAAAGGTGACATAATTATAACAAATTTTTAAGTTGTAAAATTAAGTCATATTATAATCAAGTTTTCTTTTAACTATAAGTTACATTAGACTGCATGTAGAATATATTTATAACATACGTACTAAAATTATGTAGAAACAGAAAAAATATATATTTATTTTGGATATAATATTCTTATTTAGTTTCTTTTTTTATTCTTTACATTTATAACCTAACATTACAGTTAATGTATTAATAGGCATTAAAGTATTATTTTATATTCATTTATCTTTTCATAGGTTTATTATTGGGTGTATTCGATGGTCATGGTGGTGGTGCCTGTGCACAAGTAATATCAAAACGATTGTTCCATTATATATCTGCATGTTTACTTCCTCCTAAACTATTGAGGCAATATTTGGATTCTATTAATTCCAATAAGGAATTAGAACTATTAAAAACTTTCAATGATAAAGTAGATTTAGTTTCTGAAATAAAAGATCTTTATCGAGATAGCTTTTTAACATTTTTAAAGGATCTAATTCAAACTGGATCTACAAAAGAGTTTCAAATGGAAGCAGCGCTGGAAAATGCATTTGTCAGACTAGATAATGATTTATCCAATGAAGCTTTATTAAATTTACATAATAAAGATTCAGTAAGAACACTCGCAGTTGCTATGTCAGGAGCTGTAGCAGCTGTAGCACATATAGATGGTCCACATTTGCACGTTGCTGGTGTTGGAGATTGTCAAGCAGTGCTTGGTGTACTCTCAGGTACGACATTTACTTTCTTGTTCTTTACTCTATTATTAAATGATAAAAGTAGTACAAATAAAAAATTAGATAATATTATATATTTATGTACAGTCTTTACATATATATTTGTATAAATGTTTTAATGAAAGTAATAATATAAAAATTAAATTCTATTAAAAATAATGTTTAAACCATCAGAGTACTCGTTCATCTTTATCTTTATACACGATAACTCATATTCAACTGTGACAAATTTAAATTATTACAAAGTGTTTATGAAACTTTCGTGATTATTTTTACAGAAAATGATGTGTGGTCAGCAAAAGTGTTGACTACAGAACATAATAGTGATAATCGAGCAGAAGTTGAAAGAATTTTGTCAGAGCATCCGTTGCAAGAGAAATCTACTGTGATAAAAATGGAACGACTACTTGGGCAATTAGCACCTCTTCGTTCTCTTGGAGATTTTCAATATAAGTGGAATAAAATGATCATGAAGCAAGTAGTAGTGCCAATGTTTGGTGAAAATGCAATACCACCAAATTATCATACACCACCGTACTTAACAGCAAAACCTGAAGTAAAGTATCATAGGTTGACACCTAGAGATAAGTTTCTTATAATAGCGAGCGATGGATTGTGGGATTTAATATCACCTTTACAAGCTGTACGATTGGTAGGAGAACATATTAGTGGGAAAGTTACATTAAATCCATTAAGATTACCTCGAAAAAACATGAAGTTATCTGATATTAATGAAATGTTACTTCAGCGTAAAGAAGGCTTAAAAAAGAAACCTCTCGATAGTAATGCAGCAACACACTTATTGAGAAATGCTCTTGGTGGTACAGAATTTGGTATTGATCATGGAAAATTATCACAATTATTAACTTTACCAAGTAAAGTTGTACGAATATTTCGTGATGATATAACAGTAACTGTCGTTTATATGGACTCTGAATTTTTAAGGCACTGCCCACCATGACTCTACGTATCTTGTTATTTTTCTACAAGTTACAGAAAAAAATTTAATCCGTTGTAAATTCTCTCTTTATTACAATGTATAGATTGTTATTTATGCCAATAACAATAATAAACATGATTTACACGGGAATAGTGTTCTTATTTTATCAGTTGTTTATATTTTTATTTGTTTACATATGTATGCATTTGTGTTTTTTTTTTTTAACTTGTGACATTTCTGTATTGAAATGCACATTGATTATATTTCAAATAATTAATAATTAAATTTATCTGCACGCATTATAATATATATTATTAAGTAAACATTGAATTTTAATGGATAGTTTTACAGAACAAAATTAATTAAAAAATAAGACAAGTACATTACAGATATTTTAAATTGTTCGTAGTTTACGTTGTTGCATTTACTGTAAAAATATATCCATCATTAAATGTTTATTCTTTATTAAAACATCAAAAAGAATAAACATTTAACCAACAAATAAATCATGATTTTGACTTATGTATCTATGATCATCTTTTTTTTTTTCCTTTATGTAAGTATATAAACGAAATAAGAAAAATAAAATTAATTTAGTATTTTATACTTAATTTGTTAGGTTTAATTATAACTTTTACAAGGAGTAAAACATTATACATTTCCATTATACTGAAAATTTACTTCTCTGCTTTGTATATTAGAATGAACAGTAATCTAAATCTCTTATAGATAAAATTTCATAAATGTTTATGTCAAAATATAATTCATTCTGCATTTTATGTACTAGTGCATAATAATAAAAAATTGTAGTAAATATTATAGATTAATAGCCTATGGTGAATTCATCATTTTTCTATAATGAAATAGAGAGAGAGAGAGACGTAAGATAAAGGAGTATGCACTTCTTTTTAGATATCTTTATACAAACACTGTTAAGTATAATTGTTTCTCAAAGATTAACAAGGCAAGCACGTATAACTGAAAATATGCTCTTATAAAGAATTAATTTACATCATAAAAAGTATCCAAGGATCAACCTTCTTGTCCAAAATCTTCTTTAAACTTTTCCAGTTTTGCCATATCATCTTCATTTACTGTTGGACGTGTCGTTGCTAAGGACTTTTGCATATCTCTCTGGAAATATCAAATGAGTAATATTAAGTAAATCGCATAGATACTGTTTAAATAAATTTTGCACAAGAGCTATTATGTGCGTACCATGGTTACAGGAGGAATAAATAATTTATCGCCATCTACTTCCATCCAGCTCATTTCAATAGCATCCGGATCTCCAGGAGAACATGGTGTGAGTAAATCAGTTACAATGACAGATGGATCCTTTGGAGATGGCCCTCTTACTTTTTTAAAGTGAGTGGCTGTTTGAACTTGTCTAACAGGTTGCATGAGAGAATCCCTTACAATGATACTTATATCTGCTCCTGAATAACCCTCTGTGGCAGCTGCTAATTTTTTGAAATCATCATCTGATAAACAATGCGCTGTACTTCCTAGGTGAAGTTTAAACATAACAGCACGTGCTTGTTCTTCAGGTAGTGGAATGTATATTCTCTTTTCAAATCTCCTTCTAATAGCAGAATCTAATACCCAAGGTATATTAGTTGCACCCAGAACTAATATGCCATCATTATCTGAACCCACTCCTACAATGAATATATAAATTTACAAATGTAAATCAAATCTTAAAATTGTATTACGTTATTCCAAAGAAATTCCTTTATACCTTGCATTTGAACTAAAAACTCAGTCTTAATTCTTCGTGCTGATTCAGATTCATTATCAGAGCGAGATGAACAAAGTGAATCTATTTCATCAATGAATATAATACTTGGCTTATGTTGACGTGCTAAATCAAACAGATTCTTCACAAGTTTTTCAGATTCACCTAACCACTTGCTTACCAAATCCGAAGATGAAACAGAGAAAAATGTAGAATTGTTAGCCTCTGTTGCCACTGCCTTTGCTAAGTATGATTTACCTGTACCTGGAGGCTGCATTAAATAATATATAATATTAACCTCTAATTATTTATAAATATATATTATAGACTTCGTGGTTTTAATTACGTATACGTTGAATAAACTTACCCCAAAAAGTAAAATACCTTTCCAAGGTATACGTTTTCCTGTAAACAAATGTGGAAATCGTATTGGCAAGATAACAGCTTCTTTCAAGGCTTCTTTTGCCCCATCAAGACCAGCAACATCGTTCCATTTGATATCTGGCTTTTCTATAATAATTGCTCCTTCTAATTTAGTTTGAAGTTTTTTCTTCTCGGGGTCACTATCAGTATCACTGTCCCCACTATCACTTTTTTTATCTTCTGTCTTTGCATTATCTTCGCCTGCTTTTACTGGTTTCTTCTTACTTTTTTTCAAATATGCCTTCAATGTTTCCGCTCTTTCAAGATACTGCAAGCATCTTGATCTTATACTTTCTTTAGCTCTATCACCTTGTGCTTCGTCTAATTTCAATAATTTTATTATTGTAATATTAATAGGTGAGTTATTTTAATAACAGAGAATATATTGTTAGAAAATAAACATACATTTGATAGAATGAAGAAAATACTCCACAGCATGTTCATATAATCTAAGTGCTTCTTCGTAATTTTTCTTGCGATCTTCCTCTGTAGCTTTTGTCACCAGCTCAATAGCTTTCTGCAAATATTACAATAATATTAATATTTCAGCATTGTTTAATTTAATATTATAACCTTACCGCCAATATAGTTCCTGCAGCCATAATGGTAAAGGATGAATTGATTTCTAACCTTTACTTAGCTGTATAGTAAAAGAAATATTAATCTTACTTCTTGATTACGAAATATTACTAATGTCGTTTCCAACCAAATAAAGAAAAGAATTAGAATATATAGACAAAATATATGATACACACTTTTCTACATGTGCACAATAATATCATTTACAAAATATTATAGATCGTTCTAAGATCCTATGTCAATTCTCAACCTTCAAAATTCAGTTGTCAACGTCATAATCGAATGTCATACTTCATGTATATACCAATGTATATACAGCCGTACAAATCTGAGATCTGAGATCGTGATTAATTATCAAGAAGTGTTACGATTTTAAAGTTTCCTTAAACTTCATATATTTCGACGTATTATCTCAACACCGATGCTCACACTAACAGAATAAACACAAATACAGCTCGAATCTGGAATAAGAATTGAGTTCATATATGTATATGTAAAAAAAAATGAATATACATACACATATCACTCAATTATAAATAAATATATATATATAGATAGACAGATAGATAAATAAATTGAACTGTTAATGGGGTGATAAAACAATAAATTACATAGAACAATAATAAGTACTTTTGGTAATTTCAAATATATCAACTTCTACAAATATGACAGTTAAATTTGCTCATCGATGAGAAAACGAGGATATTCTTAGACATCGCGATTAGTAACATTTTGGGGATATTTCTTTTGTAGTGGTACTGATTTTACCAGATTTTTGCAATATCAATAGAGCTTTGTTATATGGTAATATCATTATTATTACTAAAACTTATTACTATAATATATAACTAAAATATGATGTAAGAATTAAAATTTCCTTTTATTTTGTCTTCTAATTATAAAAACTATAAATTGTTTACAACATCAAAATATTTTACTGTATAAATAGTATTAAAAATATAAAATGAATGTTACAAGAGTTTTAAGTATTTTATACAAATCTTCAAAAAAGTATCACATATATAAATTGAATAATATCATTTTATATTTTACCATTTATAAATTATTTTGTTTCCATAATAGAAGTTTAGAAAAATCTTCTTCCAATAGATGCATATGCTCTACTGCTACTATAAATTCCTGTTAAAAATTAAAGAGTATAAAACAAATGATATATTATTTTTAACTATTATTTAGAACAATCTTAAATTATTACTACATACATTTTGTTTCTTCAAATTATCTATAAGTAATAATTGTTTTTTAAACGCTTGAAGTAATTCTAAACGTTGTTTTTCTAAATGTTTTATTCCTTGCCTTTTATCCTCTTGAATTTGTCTAATTTGATCTCGTAATTCCTGTATATACGTAAATAGAAAACATAAGAAAGTGACTTCATTTTATAATAAAAAAAGTATGAATTTACATGTTTAATATTTGTAACAAAAAAACATATATACATACTTTTTCTTCAAGATGAATAAATTTAATAGTATTTTTTAATTTTTCATTTTCTTCCAAAGATCTATTTAATCGTAAGTCATAGTTATTTAATTGATGATTTAAAGTTTTCATTTCTTTTCTTAGTTCTTCTACATCCTTAAATATTATATTAAAATTAATATTTTACAAGATAATTGCACGCAGACAATTCAAGAAGTCATAATTTATACCTTTTTTAAATTTGAATTTTCATTATTCAAAGCTAAATTCTGATTATGTAAATTAGAATTGTTATTTTCAAGTTTTGTAATTGTTTCTTTCAATAATGTTATTTGTTTATTTAATTTTGACTTGTTACAATCAAGCTTTTTATTTTCATTTTCCAATTTTTCACAATCATTTACCTGCAATATTTGGAAGAATGTAAATGTAATTATATTTACAAATGAAACAATACTTTTTCTATAAAATTATTTTTTATAATTAAAATTACCTTATTTTTATATTCAAGTTGAATCACTTTAAATTCATTATGTAACATATTTAGCTTTGTTTTAAGAAAATTAATAAGAGCTTTGTTCTCTGTACCATTTTCTTCATGCAAAACATTTTTCTCATTAACTTGATTGCCTTGATTTTGATTTTGAAGATTTGTAATAACGTTTCTAATTTTAAAATTAATATAAAATAAAAAAGCAAATTTTTAAAAATTGAATTTATCCTATTTACAAATAACAAAATAAAAGAAATAAACAATTTATTGTGATGCATTAAAATATTTGCAATTTTATTCACATAAACAAAATATTACAATAATTGATTAATATATTTTTGGATTAATTCATTAATATGATAAATTTATTTATATATTTACCTCTATGTGAATTGTCTTACAATATTTATTATATACTTACTGTTTTAATAAATTTGGCGTTTCTTCTGTTAAAGTATGTAATGAACTAGCATTTAGTTCACTTGTAATATTTGGAAGTAATTTGTTATTTATAATCATTGAATATTGTACATTTTTTATATCCATACCCTTAGTATTAGGTGTAACATCATTCTGTCTAGACGAGTTATTATGAATGTGTTGATCTGCAATAGATCTAATTTCTTCCAAAACATGACGCGTTTTTATTTCTAATTCTTTATTTAATCGATGCAATTCTTTTTCCTTATTTAATAGCTCATCAGACATTTGTATTGTTATAACAGACGCTACTTAATATTCTATTGATCAGAAATACTACACAATTATTATTATATCCATAGCTAATACTATACAATGTATATTGATACATATACTATACTCAAAACATTGTAATTTAAATGACAGGTGTGGACAAAATATGAACTATAAAGAAACATTGTTTTTATAGTGTTTAAAATTTAGTACTTTTTTAGTTTCAAAAGGTGTCTACCTTGTTTACATTTAATTTTATATTGAAGGCGGTAGTTTTTCGTTTTCAAACAATTGACAGTGTTAGTGAATCTATCTTGAATATCGTAACTAAGTAAAATAAAAAGAATTAAAAATAAATCATCAAATCAATTATTTATTTGAAAATATTAATATGACAGCACGTATTATTTTTCAAGGTATATTCAATTGTATTTATCTGTATTTTGTATAAACACAAAATTATGTATATGTATTTATTGTATTGCATTGCATATTAAAATTAACAAATTTGTATTTTATAGTATTTGATCAATATCAAAAAGCACGATTACTTTTTGTACAATCCATTGCTGATCTTGCATCAAAGCCTAACAATATTGAATGTTTGAAAGCTGCGGGTGTTATAAATTTGCTTAAACCTTTGTTATCAGATGTAGTCCCTTCTATTCAGCATATGGCTGCAATTGCATTGGGTAAATTAGCAAATCATGATATTAATTTGGCACAGAATATTATTCAAGAAGATATTTTACCACGTTTGTTGCACAATATTGAAAAACAAAATGTACGAGCTTGGTGAATGTAAGCACTTAATACTTAGATAGTTTCACAAGTTAAATTATTAAAATTAATTATTAAAAATTATTGACATTTTTTCAAATAGTAATAAAATTATTTTCTGCAGTATAGTTATTATACATGCATTTTCATAATTATTATATCTTTTTATTAGATTTTTTAAAAATAAATTATTACAGAAATTTTATAAAAAGGCAGCATTATTTATATTACGTGCTATTGCAAAACATTCACCAGACACAGCATCAATTATAGTACAAATGAATGGACTAGATGCAATGATTATATGTTTAGAAGATTTTGATCCTGGTGTTAAAGAAGCAGCTGCTTGGGGATTTGGATATATAGCTAGACATAATAAAAATTTAGCACAAGCTACTGTAGATGCAGGTAAGTATAAAACATATTTAAAAAATTGTAATTTCTAATACTTGTTATTGCCATATATTGTTTAGGTGCAGTACCTCTCCTTGTTTTTTGTTTGCAAGAGCCAGAGTTATGTCTTAAACAAATTAGTATATCAGCTCTTTGTGATATAAGTAAACACAGCAAGGACTTAGCTCATACTATTGTGGATGCTGGTGCTATTCCGTATTTATCAAAAGCATTATCTAATCCTGATGTCAAACTGAAGGTTGATTAATATAATTTATTAGAAAATTTCTTAAGATTATGTTCATAAACAACTTTTTATCCAGCGACAAGTTCTATCAACATTAGGGAGCATAGCAAAACACAGTGCAAATTTAGCAGAAACTGTTGTAGAGGCAGAAGTATTTCCCAATGTTTTATTACACATGGGTCATCCTGATGAAAATGTAGCTAGAGCTGCAGCAATTCTTACCAAAGAAGTTTGCAAACATACTTCAGAAGTAATTCTTAAACTTCATTAAAGTTACTATTATAGTTAAAGATATTTAATTTTTCGTATTTGAATCTTATCCTTTAGCTGGCACAATTGATTGTCAATGTTGGAGGTATAGGTGCCTTAAATGAATTAATAAATACATCAAAGTTAACAAATAAACTACCAGCAATAATGGCACTTGGTTATATTGCTGGACATTCTGATCAGTTCGCTACAGCTATTATTGGATCGATGGTATAAGAAACAATATAAATATAAAATATATATAGTCATTATATATAGTCATATGTGTAAATACATTATGTATGCGATTATTACAGAGTGTTATTCAATTGGCTACAATCTTAGAAAATGAAACTGATGATCATATACTTGCTGTGACTGCTTGGACATTAGGTCAAATAGGAAAACATACACCAGAACATGCAAAATCAGTAGCTGATGCAAATGTTCTTCCAAAATTATTAGAAGTATATAAATTATTTAAAAAATTATATTTATAATTAATCTAATACATCTATTCAATTTTTTCTCTTTTTTATTTATTTTTTTTTTATTTTTTATTAACAGTTTTATATCAATTCAAAGAGTTCAGATGATCTAAAAATGAAAAGTTATATGTCATTAAAGCAGATACTTCAAAAATGTTTGCATATTGAAGCATTAGAAACACTCCTCTATGATGCTCCTCCAAATGTCTTGAAATATATACTTGGACAATTTAGCAAGGTAATTTCTAAAAATGTTATATATATATTTTTTTCATATGTTGATTATGTTTATAAATTGATGTTTCATATTGGAATCGTATAATCAATTGATTTGAAGGTGTAGGTATCAAACCATATTACCGGTTATTAAATATAGTGTTAATGATTTATTATATATTCTATACATATCAGTGAAATGTGTACAAATGATGTGTTATACAAAGTGATGATATATTATTTTACAATTAACGTATAGACATTAGAAAGGTGTTATTGCCTTTTTTGTCTATCTTTACATTGTGTGTTGACAATCAACATAAATGCTTTTATTTATTTGTATATAATGGCTTATGGTAAAATCTGTATAAGACGACTTGCTTTTATATACGTAAGGTAAAATATAATATAGAAGTGAATTGATAGATATTCATGAAACTATTCATATATAAATCTTTCGCCCTACGTAAAAATTGGTCAAGCAGCTGTATAAGTGTGCTTTTATTGTAAATATTTATGCAAAAAGATATTGTTTCTTTTTTCATTTATAAAACACAATCCTTTTCTTAATCGATAAATACAATTTAACTTCACGTTAGATGATAATAATAACTGAAAAATATTCGAAATTTGAGAAATTATATTTCATTTTTCATATTATTAATATTTCTTCTATATTTTTTTTTTGCTTTTAACTTTCATAAATAACTTGGACTAATATGCTGACATTCAATTATCTTAATAGAGGATGTACTTTCAAGCTATTAATAATAATAATAATAATAATAATAATTAACAGGATTTACAGATATGCTATATAGTTTCTTTTTTGGTTTTTGTTTAATAATAATTTTATAATCAACAGCAAATAGAGAAATTTTTAATTACACAAACATATTTAGATTACTTTTCTCTAAAAATTTCCTCTAAGTTATAGTATGGCACATTTGAAGTTCCAAAAAAGCACATTTCTCAGTCTTTCGACATTGAATGGTCATCTAAAATTCAAGGATAATTTGTTATTCATTTTCTTCTGCTTTTTTTTTTTTTAATGTGTATAATATTATGTATATATTTTTAAGATTTGATGAAAAATGTATGGAATGTTTTTTCTTACTTTAACTATACCCTATTGCCTTTTACTACTTTAATTATTATATTTTCTAATGGCAGTATTTTTGTATAAAGAGAAATAGTATACAAAACGTACAAAAATGGAGAGACAAATATTAAATAAGCCTCAAAAGTTGTGTATATATTATTAATGAACTGTTAACAAAAAAGACTTTGATTTAATATTTGTATGAATTAGCTTCATTTTGCTATATTTAAAGTATTGGTGTTTCTTCATTATTTTCCATCATTTTGAAAATGTAAAAATCATTAATTGTAATAGAAATAGTACGGTATTAGAATTTTTTTTTTAGTAGAGATTCACCATAATAATAGCACAACCCGCTGTATATAATTTTTTTCTCATAATATACATATATATATATCTATCACTGGCATAAATTTATTTAATCAGTAGTTTTACCTTGAAATTGATTAAGTCAAAGATTAGTCTGTTGCAGAATTAATTAGTTTTCCTTTTTTCAGATCAATAATTCTACAAAAATATTTTACTATTGAAATAAAACATTAAATTATCATTTTTAATGAATTATTAACATTTTATGAATTGATATTTAATTGAAATGTTTCATCAAAAAAAAAAAAAATATATATATATATAAAATATGTAATAATAAAACAAATCCTATAACACTCGATTAAGTGAATATATCATAAAGCATAGATTATAAAATTTAAAAAGAAAAAATTGCATAATATATACATATATTTTACTGCCAATTTACCAATATTTATGTCTTGTAACATGTTCAAACCGTATGGCAAATAAACCAAATAATCGATTCAGAGCATGCAATCTGTCCGAGTATTTCTGAAAAAGGAAATTAACAATATTATTGTTTCATAAAAAAAAAACATCTTTTCCTTCTATAAAAGCTGCATTTAGTAATAGATAGGTGTTGCATTATATTATGCGACGATTTCATTGATTGTTAATTAAACATTTGAAAATTACGTCAATGTTTTTCATTTATATCATGCATTTCTGTTTTTTTTCTTTTTTTTTTTTTTCCAATTTATGTTACAATATGTAAAAATGCATGAAAACCTTTTTTTTTTTTATCTTTTAATATGATATTTCTTTGGCAGTTACCTTCTTTGGTATATTTTTTATTCCATCGAAATTCGTAAATAAAAATGATAAATAAACAAACTTGAAATTATATAGAATATTTTCTCCGAATGTGTATATAGTATTATAATATAATTAATTACAAATAGTTATAATTTATATTTGGTTTGATAATGTAAATGCTATAAAGTGAATAGAATAGAAATGCATAACAATAATAATAATAATAATAATAATATTAATAATAATGTTTTAATGACAGTGAAAGATATGTGCAATAATAATGTTAATGAGATATTAAATAATAAAATTATTTTGCCAAATGACTAATAAAATGAAATAAACCATTCATTCATCTGCTTCATCGTTAGGTTTTATACTAGCATAACTATTCATGTTTCTATTCACTTTTAGCATCTTTAGAAAACTGCCTATTACCAATATAGTTTTTCTATGTCTTCTGAAGATTCCAGCATAAAGCTCTTCGCGTACATCCCTTCTATCACTAACATCAGAATCAATACTTGAAACTGAAACGACTGAAGGTTTTGCAGAGACAGGTTGATGATAATTATGTGTTTCACCCGTATTGAGAATAACACAATCTGGATTGTCTTTCATGTTGATTAACAATGATAGTACTGCTTACTAAGTTATACACTTTTATCACCTTCCTTGCTAAAGTATTCTCTAAAAAGAATCACTTTTAATAAACACTCATATCTCTTTGATTATTGATAAAAGCTATAGTATTTTTCCTATTTTCATAAGAAATAACTTTGACTATTTCAATTTACAATTATTTCTATTCATATAATGATTAAATTATAAATCTTTTTAAGAGTTAACTCTCTTATAGCTTTTTAACATTCAACAATAGATATAGATATAGATTTCATAAAGTTTAGTAATAAATTACTGATATATTTTAATATATTTCTACACTGTAATTAGCAATTAATTAACTTACAGATGTTTTTGTATAGGTACTTATATGTGCATATATATATATATATATATATACACACAAACCACACACACAAAACAAATATACACAATATGTATAAATATACACGCGTATATATGTATATATGAGTAGATTTGAATAATGTCACTGTATAACAGAGAGATGTATCTCTTTCCTCTGATCTAAGTGAACTGACTTTGCAAGATACGTTTACGTCCTCTTATATAGAAACTTCTGTTGAAATTTAAACGGTACGTGATTTGTTAGAAGATTTTAATATCTTTCGTAAATTTGAAAGAATGTTACGCGACTGTTGCAAATATAAGGCAGTTGTCTCGTTGTCGGTGCTCTGTGTACCAATGGATCTTGGTGTTTAGTAGAATATAATCTAATTTGGTTTCTTCAGGCGATTCAGTCACACTTAACTTTATTGATTTGACATACGATGTACATTTTATAACGATATCTAATTCTTCATTTGAATTTTTCTTCAATTATACGTATGACGCACTTGTCTTCATCAAAATTGTTATTCGTTGCTTTTTTTTCATAATGTTGACGACGATAGATTTATGATAAACGTTATAACTATCATATAGAATAATGTTTACATAACAGCTACGTTTTTATAAAGCTCTCTTATAACTTTGTATTGTTATCTTTTTACGGTTGTTCACAACCGTTTTCTTCATAAATATCCTCTCTCTCTCTCTCTAAAGTTGAAGCTGTAATATTTTTTTGGTTTTTTTGTTTTTTTTCAAATTTTTCTCTGTAAAGTCAACAAACAAGATGCTATTAATGATGACGCAATTTAAATAATACAAAATATTACTGATTAAACGTAAATGTATGAAAAAAAAAAAAAAGGGAAAAATTTCTTTTTCAAATATAAATAATATTTATTCAGTAACGTAATACTATCTCAATACGTATACGTAATATTTATCACATATACATAACGCATAATAATCATATTTTGATTTTCTATTTATTTTCAATTTGATACTCTTCAATAAATTAGACAGAAGATTATGTTTTCTTCATAACATCATAACGTCATGAAAAACAAAATCTGTTTTTCTAGTTTTCATTTATCATTTACATAATAAAACATGCTAAATATGAATTTTATAATAAATATATCATTCTAACAATCGTTCAACTTTCTTTTTCAAAGAATTATTTCTCAGAATTTTCTTTTCTATTCTTTTCTTACATCAGCTTCTCTATGATTTACAAAGCATAAGACTATTCGAATAAAATGATAAGATTTGTTTCGTAATCGTGCATGATATATGATTAAAGTTTGTTCAATTTTCTTCGTAAATCGAGAACTAAATGTATTTTTTTGTAATTTTTTTTATTTCGGTCAGAGATTCCAAGAATTTTATTTTTAGGTCTAACGTAATCGTGATCGCGATTTTTCACCCACGCCACCATATTTACATATATATATAGATAATAATAATAATAATCAAAATAATAATAAATTATGTAGCAATCAAAAAAGTTGTTTATTTCATATTACATTTATAATTCTTTGTTTATTTCTATTTATGTTTAGATATTGCCATATGACGCGAGAGCAAGACGATTATTTGCTACATCAGGAGCATTGAAAAAAGTGCAAGAAATACAAGCTGAACCAGGCACAACACTTATGGAATACATAATGCTTATCAATTGTTGCTTCCCTGAAGAAATTATAAGGTATTTTTTAACATATATTAATCTAACAAACTATTATTTTTATTGCTTTTTTGCAATCGAGCCAATCATAATATATTAAATTGATTAACTTTATAAAACAAAAAGTAGAGAAAATTTAGAAAATATTCAGATATATATATATATAACATTATTTTATCATTTATTGTTAGACGATCATAAAATTGTTCTTACTTAGTTAGTGGTAAAACCTAATTACTAAGTAAATTTATTTAAGGTATAAAAAGATAAATATCAACTAAGTGCTTGGATAATAAAATCTTAAGTAAATACTAAAAGTAGAATTAATCACTTTGTCTGTTAATGTGATTCAAGTGTTATAATAATTATGATTTCTTGTATACTAAAGATCTTTACATCGTAGATAAAGCCAGTAGATATTACTGACATAGTACTAAAGTACTTAATGCAAATTGGTTATTATTTTACGCTAATCTATCATTACAATATTCTTTGATTCCTACACTTCCTTTTTCTGTAGATTCAGTAATAACTTTATATAAACAAATAAACAAACAAACAGAATAATTAAAGAAAAAAAAACAACTCACTAAAATCTAAATAATATGAAAGTATCAATCGTAAGTTTATAAAATTCAAACTTATAATCAAATTAATCTACTTTAGCTTGATTTATATCCTTACATTTAATCATATTATATTCATTGAATTTTCATCAACTATAATTTATGTACTTTGAATGTTTATAATATTCAAACGTCATATATATTTTCAAACAAATTCAACACTCTTATACAGTGTGATGATAGTAAATTGTAACCAAAAACACTAGTTGCTTTTTTGACATAACCCTTCTAAAATCTATTTACTCACCGAATTATTTCAAGACTTTCTTCCTAATTAACGCTAAATTGGATCTCGTAAAGTTGTTTTCACTATCAATTCGTGCAACAATACCACCTGTTTTTTTTTTTTAGTCTTGCATAGATCTTAGTTTAACATAAGTCAGTTTGTTAATGTACGAAGTATCCGCCATATTGGCGCACAGCTGATCTTATTGAAAAAGTACAACTGGTGAGACTGCAGTGGATCAATAACACAGGTTAACAGCCATTTTGCATTTGATATGTTATATATTAATTAATACGTAATTCTCTTTCTCTCTCTGTGCGTAAGATTTAAATCTGCCTTTTAAAATATGTTGTTAGGTCAGGTTTTTAAATAATTTAGATTTAAAAATTTTGTTTTTTTATTTTGCTTTCGTTATTCTCTATTTTTTGGTTTACGTGTTTATTTCTCTTTTCGTTCTTTTGTTTTCTACTCTTCTTTGTAATATAAGGTATGTTGAAATGCACATTGATGCAATTCTTATCAATCCTTAGCTAAATATGTGTATTGTGAACTTTTTTTAATTCAGTTTGTCGTCGCTCGAGTTAACTCGAGTGTGCAAAATTTGGCTGGTTTAGCGCCAATTTAAGGGGTTAAGAATATTTAATGATTGTACAAAATTATGTCTTATTATTATTCTTTTTTTTATAGATATTTTTCGCCAGGATATCCAGAAACATTATTAGAAGCAATAGAACAGTATCAACCAAAATGTCCTTCCTTATTATCATTGAATCAAAAAATGTCTGATGATTCTTCTACCTTTTTTATCTCAACGTACGGGGAATAAGGTTAACTGCAAGATAGTATTACCTATATGTGAAACATTCGTATTTAGAAAATATATTTTTATTACTCTTATTTAAAAATAAATCTAAATTGGAAATAACTTAATATAAAGATATAATAAATATCAATATTTATACAATTAATATGTATGCGTTTCAATTACTTCGCAATTAAATATGCATATTCAAACTAAAGCAGATACAGAAAACTGCACTTCTAATGCAGGCAATACAGTTATATCGGTCATACCATATGCTAGTCAACAGAAGACTTCCAGAAAGCAACGTTAGATGGCGCAACGATCAACTGCAGTTGATCACATGTTACTTCCGGCGCCATTCTTCCGAATTATGCTCTTATATATTATTTGACTCGATTATTCATTGAATAAAAAGTAAATATTATACCTTACAATTTTAGTATTAAAAGCACAAGAAATATTTGAGATTTTTGTGAATGCAGTGGTTGATGTTGACCGTCTCCTTAATACGAAGAATTAAAAATCCTAACCTAAAATTTTAAAATAACAATAGGTAAGTGTTTTTCATATCAAAATTTGTTATATTTTATGATGAGACATTGCTAATTTATTACTTTTTTATTAGACAAAATACTATAGCAATAAATATATAATAATAGTAAAATGTTTTTATTTTAGGAAAGAAAATGTGCACATGTGTTAATTGAAAATTTATACCAAATATCTCCAATATAAACATCAACGCATCAAATCCTGAAAAAACTTCTATCAAATCTAATCAAAAATCAAATATGTTTCCAAGGAAAAGAAAACTAGGTTCATATGATCCTGAAGAAGAAGCTAGGTAATTTTAAATAAAAATTCGCTGCTACAATTATAAACAAAAAGCATGGAATAAATGAATAAATGTTAAAAAAAAAAAAATAGTATCAGATTCATATATTCTTTCATTGCAAATATAGTTACATTTTTGTATTGAAATAATTTTTTCTATTAATTGATATACCATGTAATAGTTAATCGTATAATCTTATTATAATTATAAATTGTAGATTGGAACGGATTATTTTTGGAGATGTAAGTGGTGTCATAGATAAATTACCAGAAGATCATATTGAAGAAGCAAATAAAAGCACGACTGTATATTTGGATGAAGTGAATGATGAGGATAATGAAGGTGATGTAAAATTTCAAATAGATATAGTTTCTAAGAGTTCTGATGAAAATAGTGATGAGGATGAACAAACTGAGAAAAAGAAAAGAGTTTGGATAGATGAAGATGATGAAAAATATACGTAAGTATATGAAGTGTTTTTAAAATGGATCGATTATCGCATTCTGTTATTTATATTCATTATAACTAAATTTATTCTATAATAATTAAAGTGTAGAAACTGCATTTGATATTCAAAATCGCAAGATTTCAAGCCAAAGACCTGAGAAATGTTATATGGATTACTTGGAGAAAAAGTACAAACATTTTGTAGGTAATCCGAAGTGGGCAGAAATTAATAGAGTACCAGATAATTCTGATGATATTGATAATGAAATCCTGAAGGTATTATTATGATTTTTTTATAGTAATATTAAAAGTAAAACTATTGAATATATTATATTTAAATAAATAAATATTCTCAATTTTAGCATAGCTCTCACTTAGAAACACCACAATTGAAAGACTTACCAAAAGGAAAGATCGATATTAAAGCCATGAAACCAATAAATCAAAAGACATTTAGTGAAGGTCCTAAAGTATCAAGTTTAGAATTTCATCCAACCTCTACATTAGCTCTTGTTGCTGGTTCATCTGGTATTTTGTCTCTTTTTCAGGTTAGTAAAAATATTATTTTTCTTTGAAATAGAGTTAATATATAAAAAAAAACATTTTTTAATATCTACAGATTGATGGTATAGAAAATAATAAATTGTACAGTACTCGATACAAACATTTTCCAATTAGTAAAGCAAAATTTCTTAAAGAAGGAACTGAAGTTATATTAGGATCTCAATTTTACTCATATTGCCATTCTTATGATTTAATTAGTGGAAAAACTCATAAAATACCATTACCAAGTCATATTACTAACATGAAGGTTTGGAAATTTATTTGTTGTATTATATTAATAATACTCTCTCTCTCTCTCTCTCTCTCTCTCTTTGTGATATTTTTATTTCAATAAGTTTTTATTATAATGTTATTCAGAAATATGAAGTATCTCCTGATGGTCGATTGATAGCACTGTGTGGAAGATTAGGTGACATTTATTTGTTAACGAGTTCTACCAAAGAACTTATTGGCACCCTAAAGATGAATACAAAATGCAGAACAATTTCATTTATTGATAATAAAAAACTCGTAACACACGGAGGTAAGTAATAGAAACATTTTATTTATTTTCAAAGTAGAATTAAATAATTCAATATTCTTTCTATTGCGTGTTTGAAGATGGCCATGAAATGTATATTTGGGATATAAACAGTCGAACTTGTATACATCGTGCGGTAGATGATGGATGCTTGTCTTGTTCAGTTACTGCAATATCTCCTAACAGTCAATATTTAGCTACTGGAAGTAGGGAAGGAATTGTTAATTTATATGATTTAAACAAATTACTTCAAGCAAAATATCCAGTTCCTCTTAAAATAGTTAGCAATTTTGTTACTTCTATTTCTGCATTGAAATTCAATCCAACATCAGAAATATTAGCCATGGCTTCTGATAAAAAGGCAAATGCTTTTAGAATGTTACATTTGCCGTCATTTAATGTATTTTCTAATTTTCCAACATTTCAAACAACAATTTCAATGCCCTGTGATATTGATTTTTCTCCTAGTAGTGGTTACTTAGGTATATCAAATTTGTCATACAAAGCATTTTTATACAGATTGAAACATTATGGAAATTATTAAGTATTTTTTTTTTTTTTTTTTTTTTTTTGTAAAAATTGTCTAAGTAATACAGTCGCGATATAAACTTATAATATATAAATCTTATAAAGATACTCAGTTTGATTTTTACAAACATTCAAATCTTATCCTTTATACTTTGTATTTCATGATAATATGTACATATTATAGTTGTATGTTTCTTTTTCTTTTTTTTTTTACAACATCATTATGTACTAAATTGAAATTCTTTTATCATTATATATAAATACTGATTCGAAATTAGTTATTTTTTTGTTCTTTTTGTGAAATTATAAAATCTAAGATATAAACTTTTAATAAAATGTAAATATGTGTAAGTCACAGTAAATAACATCATAATTCTGCCAATTTTATTTTTAGTATATAAGAAAAATGTTTTCTGTACTCTGCTTATTCATGAATATTCATACCACAAAGAAATAAATTTTGAAAATACTAAATGCAATTTGAAGATACTGTTATAATTACTTACGATATATTATTTGTGAAAAATAGATGTGTACTCTTTAAAAGTACACATTTTAGTTTTACAGAAAAACATAATGAAGTTTTAATTACAAATTAAATATCTAGAATACATATTAAGCTGCTTTATATACATGTTACTGATAATTAAAATAAAGAAAATGTGTTTATTGAAACTAAAAAAAATAGTTTAATTAATCATTATTGTCTTATTAAATCGTAATTATATTATACTGTAAATAAATGGTGCGTCCATTTAAATAATAGATAATGAAATGTAATATATTTAATATTTGTACTAAAATTCTATATGAAAATATTAATTTTATAAAAAAGTTTAGATATAAAGAAAAAAAAAAATTAATTTTCTTATTAAAATATTATGAACAAAAAGTATTATGACGCCATATTTTGGGTTATTCAGAAAATTTGTAAGTGATTTTTAATAATGTTGTTTAGATTTTATTGTATTAATTCTTTTGTTCCGAAGAATGTATGCAAAGTGTTTCATAAATACATTTTAACACTAAACTTACCACACGTGGTTAAATGATCGCGTCCTGTAATTAGTAAAAATTGAAAAGGTAGACTGTGCCATTTTTAAGTACAGATGATTCATTTGGAAATCATAAAATCCTTATCTATAGAAACGAAAAAGATTTACGTCAATTATAAAAATAAAACCTTTCTAGAATATAGAATGTTTTCATTCATTTATAAGAACGATTGGGATAAGAGGTAGATACTTAAAACATTTTTTTAATATGCACAACTTAAAAACGAACGTATGTTCATAGAACATTTTATACTTATTTTAGTATGTAGATATACCTACAGAAATATTAACATGCATTTATGAAACACAAATGCTCAAATAATTGATGCTCCTGTAAGATTGTAAAATAATACAAGTTGGGTGTTTGATAACATTGTTTTCAATAATGTGTTTGAACTGTTTGTATCGATTTTTAAGCAACGCATTCCATTCACAAAGATCACATTTTATTAAAAGCATACCATGGAGAAAAAGGTTAATATTATAGCAAAAATAAAAAATTATTATTAAATTTTTATTAGAAATCAATAAAAAATATCTGAATAACCCAATATCTAAATGATCTTATTGCTAGAAAAATTCTTAAAGATTACCTCTCCTTTGGTCATTTTTCATTTTAACATTCGATCCAAATATACACTTTTAAGAGCGTTTCAAGATTTTTATATCTAACAAGGAAAGATCACAGTTAACTCGTCACCAAATTTAATTTTTGTGGCAAAGCTTTTAATCCCATTGCCATTGTGTAAGGAATATTATTTATATTTGAAATTTAGAGAACGATTAAACATGTGTAATATATAGCAACTTTTAATCGTTAATATCTCACATGCTTAATTGTTTTAAATTTAAAATATGAATAACATTCCCTTACCAAGAATTTAATTGTATTTGGTGCAGGTTTACTATATACCCATGATATATGAAAATCCATGACCTGTCAATTATGGCCTCTCCTTGTAAGTAACATATATACAATGAGTGTTCTTTCTTTCGTAGTATATAATGTGTACTATAAAATTATTTATACAGATATTCATTATGTTTATGCATAAATGTGGTCTTCAACAACATAATATGCTTTTATACACATTCACTGGTAGTCTTTAAATAGTTAGACTATAACTTATGTAAAAAATAGCCACTATAATATATACAAAATTTTGTATACTTCCATTAACCAGAAATGTTCATATCTTAAGTCTTCATCTCTTTTTTTAATTGTGAAGTTTCTATAGTAGATTGTTCTCCTTCTACATTCCTTTGGTGAATGGGTGTAAGGAACACTAGCTATTGGTCCCCTGCAGTTGTAGCAAGAGCATTTGTTTCTGCACTACTGCTTTCTACTATAAGCATAACCGTTTCAGCTGCACCTCGCACACATTCTACTTGATGACCAGCCCAATCTTTACGTTGACAAAATGTAGAACAGTATGGTGTACGTCTGCATAGAGAACACTCAGCAAATGCCTCTCGATTACAATTAGCACACTAAAAACAAAGATTTCATTTAGAAGCATAAATAAATAACATTAACATATGTGCAAGAATAAAATATTTTATACACAATACACAAAAGCATGAGCACACTTAATCTTACTTTTTTATTATGAGTGTCAGGTGTAGGTTGTAAGCCAACAGGTTCAATAACATCTCCTCTAGCACTCAACTGTGCAACTAATGCTTGCTCTCTTCTTTGTTGCCTATTCAATTCTTTTGCTTCTTCTAATGTACGTTTAAATTCATAAGCTAATTTTAACATTTTTTGCGACATTTCATCTAATTTTTTAAAAAGATCTTCAGTCTGTGTATTTTCTGTTTGATGTACACTTTGTACTACAGAATCCTGATCTTGAGATTGTTGTACAACTAAACCTTCTGTTGATACAAAATGTGGCCAACCGTCTTTGTCAGGGACAACTATTTCATTGTCACTTTCTTCATTGTTACTACCATCCCTCGAATTTTCACTTTTATGTTTACGAATTGGAATTTCACTATCTGAGGTATCTCTGGCTCTTCTTCTACGTTTATACGGTGTAAATAGTCGTACAGGACCTGTCTTTAAATGCAAATGTTTAATATTAAACCTTTTAAATTAAATGATAAGAAGTTAACCAAACAAAAAAAAAAGATTACTCACTGCATTGTCATCATCACAACAAGCAGCACAGGTGCATGATGTTGCATGTGGCTTTAAAATTTGTTCATCTATAAGTGTTTGCAAACTTCTACCACCAAATCGGATGCTTCGTTTCCAATCTTTACTTGATGCTCTACCACAAAGTGCTTCGAATTCGCTTGGAGTGTACCAGCTGTTTTCTAATTTGATGCATCGTCCTCTTCCTCCAGAACCAAATTTACTTTTATGTAATTCAGCATTTGTGTTTTTGCATCTTACGGGTAGAACTGCTAAATTGGCAGATTCTGACCAACTGCATATTGGTTGTGAATTAGCAGCAGATACATGGATTTGGTCAGATTCTGTTTCATCAGTACTATTTTGAATAACTATATGAGTTGCCTTCAATTCTCCATTCCATCTTAAAGGATCTGTATCTTTATCATGACGTGATTCACAAATGAAGCCATTGTCAACACATAGCATCTGCTTGAATTGTCCAGACCCAGGCAGCTACGAAACAAAGAACTTTATTTGTATTGTATTATTCATAAAATAATATAAACAGATTAATTTAATGATGAAGTACAGTTTCGTTGACAAGCATACTTGAATTACTCATGTGTCATATATGAATTACAAAATTCAACGAGACAAAAATAATCGTACATAGGGAACATATGTATATATATATATAACTCAATTACATTGTTAAAAATTATTCTTAATCGTTGATAAACAAATGATCTTAGAATTGAGTATGCGATATATTTATTTTTGTTTTTTTTTATACTTGTAATTGCTCTGAGGTGATGACGTTGAAGGTCGTCCCATTGGTAGAGTTTGCCACACCGATGATAGAACCAACAGGCAAAGAAACCGGTACACCGACTCCAGGAACACCTGGAACACCCGGTACAGAAGTCACGCTGGCTGTAACAGCTACAGGATGCGCCTCGTGCTCGGTCGTTAGTGCGGACGCTTCCTCGGTTTCGCTCGTCAACGGTTCGGACATGTCCGGTAGCACGGCGACACTCTCCGATGTTTGGTTCTCCTCCATTTCGGCTGTTCTCGCCTCACGCACGAAATGGTACTAGTGCGCATGCTCCTAATAGCGCCACGCGAACTTTCATAATGCCCGAGCAAGCGCTTCTTTTTCCTTATTCATATGACATTATTATGAATCTACATTACTTTCTATATAGGATAGATTTTTTTCTCTATTTATACTCGAAAGAATGATTTTATTGATATAAATAATCTCTTTTACTTTATTTTATTTTACAAGTTCTTATTTGAATCTTTCTAAAACATCTTAAAGGAAGGATCAATCGAGTATATTATTATTGGACAAGGACATCTTTATTCATCTCACAAGGCGGTAAAATTAAATTTGAAATTATTATTTAAGGTTATACCTAATAATAACACAAATATATAGAATTTTCTTGAAAAATAATATAAAGAAAAAATGATATTTGTCGAATAAATAAAATAATTATCATTATTTTTATTCAATATTATTTTATCTCATAATAAATTATACGATTGTATTATAAATCTTTTATATTTTTATTTACATAATTTCAGAATGCAAAAATTGTAGAGCATACATTTTGAAAGTGTTTTTATTTCGAAAGACTTTTACAATGAAAATACTTTTTCATTGGTTATTGTGAATAGAAAGAAGCATTAGAAAAAATCATGGAAAAGCAATCTGTTGAGGAAAAAAGTATTATTTATATTTATTATATTTTTAGTAATACATTTATAGAGTAAATTTAACAATTTTTCATAGCATCTGCAAATAATCTAACGAGTTCGAAATTATACGAAAATGAAAGATCGATCGAAATGTCAAATGATTCTCAACTTGTAGAGCAATCGTCGATAACGGCAATGCAAACATCATTAATTTTAATGAAATTAGAAATGATTAAGCCAAGTATGGAAAATGCGCCATCAACGAATTCGGAAAAAGCTTTTCCCTGTATCGAAGAAAATACGAGGATGGAATTGCCGTCAATGAAATTTACAATTAGTTGCGATACTATAACAACGCAAGCTGCAACCCCTTACTCTTCATCCATGTCAACAAGTACACTTGTACCATCAAGAGATATTTTACAAATATCTGCAGCTCCCTTATCCTCTATAGGATCTATTCCTAAAAGCGAAATTTTAACATTCACTACAGATTATAACAATCGTTCACCCGATGCTTGTAGTGTACTTGTAGATGTAGTTGACCAACACGATCCATCATCGACTTGTAAGTTTCTTTTTTTATGTTAATAAAATATCAAATTTAGCACAGATTATATGAAATTCATTGACTATAAAAATAAAGTACAAAATATTGATTATAAATATTATCTTTTTCATTTAAGTTAATCGAGATGTACAGCTATCGATCGAGGAGTCGTTTGATTTACCACAACGAAGTATATCATCTGTAAGAAATGATTTTGCAAATCGAACAAGACAATCTCGCCAAACGTGGAGATTTGGAAAATGTTTGTGTTGTACTGCACCGATAGATGATGAGGTTTCAATGTTTTATTTCTTTCAGGATTTAATCAATTGTATCATAGGTGCTTCTACATATTTTTAATCAATTCGCCTAACAGATTGATACGTTACCACATTCAAGAGATGCTCCACCTACATATTCATCGATATACGTTAGCCCTACAACGATATTACATCAAAGATCACCAGTTACGCGATCTAATTTGCGAAATAATGGAAGATTTATTATTTCAAATACTAATCAATCATCTTTCATAGCACCTATTCCTCCACCAAGTTATGCTCAAGCTCAGGGTATTCAACTTAACTCATATTCAACCGAACAAAATCTCTCGGTTTCATGTAAATATCTTATTAATTTGTTGAAATCTTATTCTTGTGTAATAAATAAGAATATTTTGTTTAAATCGTGCTCTATGATGTTTTTATAAATTCATTATTTTTTCATTTATTTTTTAGCAAATGTTAATTCTTGGTCAGCAAGACCTGTAGCTACTATTTGTACACGATGTTTAGCCCTTATCGTTACTACAACAGAAGTTCGTCGATCGACTATTACACATTTAAGTGCATTTCTTCTTTGCCTTTGTGGGTTAGTAAATAAATACGATAAGTGTCATATATATATTAATCCTTTAAAATATGTTCTTTATATATTCGGAATATGAAATATTTTAAAATATAATATTTATTAATTAATTTATTAAATAGCAGAACATTTTGCTAGATAATATTAGTTATTAATTATTTATTGAAAATAGATGCTGGCCTTGTTGTATGATCCCATATTGTTTAAATTCCTGTAAAAGTACCGATCATTATTGTCCCGTTTGTCACACATATCTCGGAACTTACACACCTTGGTAATTTAAACATATTTTTCACAAAATTTTCTATTGTAAATATTCTTTGTCTTTTTTAAAAATAATTATTGGATATAAAAATTAAATAATTATAAAAAATATATATTTAAAAATAAATTATATTCAATTATACTATGAAAAATAAAGTCAAATGTTTATCAAATTATTTAAAAATTTGTAAAGTACCGCGCAAATTAAGGAATGACATTGAGGCGCGAAATTCAAATATTATCCGTAAATTAAACGGAATTATAATTATATTTAAAAAAATATCAAAATTACTTTTAATTAGCTAATGAAATTATATTAAAATTTGTTTAATGAGTGCATATAAATGAATATAAATGATAAAATTAATAATAAAGATAAATATCTAATTGAAAATTTAAATCATATATTTATATATATAACTTTTTTATTTATAATTTCGTATAAAATGAAATCTGTTATCTATATCATTGATATTTTAAGAAACAAATAATCAGTATTTAAAGTTCAATTGTGGTATAATCCTGATTATGACATTTGTGTGCATCATTTTGAATGAATCTATAGTTGAATTTATGACATATATACGATAAAAATGACATATGGCGAAAGGCAATTTTTCATACGTCGTTTTTGAAACTTCTATTATTACGTATATTAAACTTTTCGATGACACATTGTATTGTAAGATCAATATTTCGATGTATCGTTTTCGTAAGAAATGAGAGAAAAGCCAAGAATAAAAGAAATAAACGTGAAAAAAAACTAATTACCTAGACATTTTCTATATACATATTTGTATTGGTATAATAAGTTAACCTGCAACAAGTGAACATGTTAACTATCTAAGAAAACTATTTTTTTAATAATATATGAAAAATTCATAATTTTGATAGTGACATTTCTTATAGTATTATGTAATTAAAAATGACTGGATTATTGGGTTTTTTTATAGGCTTTTTTATATTGTACTGTCATTTTACTTGGTAAGTATTTGACAATTTATATACAAAACCATATATATATATATATATATATATATGTATGCATATATTCTATTATGTTTTTTCATTCTAATAAATTTGTAATTATTGATTTATTACAGGGTAATCCCAAGGTTGTTATCATGGCTAGTAAAAAGAAAATATAAAATCCATTTAAGGGTTGGTCATATTTCATTACCGTATTTTATTCTCCGTGATGTCAATATATCTAAGAATGGCTTTACGTTGGTTAGTATCATTTTTAATATTGATAACATGTTTTCATGATTTAAATATTAATATATTATATTACACGTGTTTTGTTTTATTATTTCTAGCAAGTTGAAGAAATAAGTGTTCGCAGTAGTTTATTCAGCAGCGATGTAGCTAAATTATTAGCAGTAGTTATGCGTGATGTTAGAATTAATAAAGATGTTCCTATTGAATCTAACCATCATTCCAATAAAACAAGTAAATTATTAGATTTTAGGGATAAAAAAATTTCACCGATAATCATAACATTTGTACAGGTAATATATACATATATATTTTATGCATATATATATATATATATTATTGAATCTTTATTATTTCTTAGAAAACATATTATTAAATATATGCTATATAATTTGTTAGTTTATGGCAGTACATATTGAAAATTTGAGTCTTCTTGCACTTGGTAATGGTTGGTTAGCTAATGGCAGTGCAGAAAGTCTTAGTTTGGATGGCAGTGTTGTTCATGGAGCACGTACTCTACTAGCATCTGCTACAGTTTCTGGAGGAGCGATGAAACTATTAAGACATGCATCTGATGCTTGCTTGTCACAAATCACATTTGCTGGTACAGCAGAAGCAACTCTTAAAGCTCAAGGAGAAATTTCGGTCGAGGTATAGCGATTGATTTTAATTTTTTCCTATTATAAATTATTTTTAATAAAATCTTATTTATGTATATATATATATATATATATAGAAATTGTATGTTGGTGTGACACAAACGGAAGGCTCTGGAGGGCCAGGTCTTATGCAGTTTTTAAGAGATAGAAAATCATTAAGAACTGGTGCTTCATACTCTAATATAGATAACAATTCTACTGATAATTTACTGGCTAGATTAGCACCAATAATACCAAAGGTAAAATCTAATCTTTATATTTAGTTTTGAATAATTATCTATATAAATATGTGTATATATATATTAACTGTATTTATAATTGATATTTCAGGACTTTATGTTGAAAATAGGAAATTCCTCTGTAATCGCAGGACGAGAAGATGGTGGTATTGTTGGTTTAGAAGGCATATTGAAAGGATTACAAGCTATAGCTAAATTTCAACCACATAGTCCTCAATTAAATTTTACTGTTAATTTGGAAGGATTATCCATTCGTGGAAAATTTCCCGTTGTTACTTTGCAATCATTACTAATAGATGCAAAAGTAAGCTTATATGATATTAACATTTCTCAAATTTTTTTTTAAATTTATTTAAAAATATATATTGCTTTATATATTATAAATTGCTTTTTATATATTTATAATCTTTACAAATATATAGATGGAGCAAGATATTTTACAAATATCAGTTCAATTGAGTAGTCTTTTAATCTTTTATGATTACAAAGATTGGGAATCAATATTGCAAAGTGCACAAAATGAAATATCTAAGCCTGTCGATCGCGTGTCCTTAACTAGAAAACTGCCATGGGTTGAAGTTAAGATAAATACTGAATTATATGACTCATCTTTGGTTGTAAAACTTCCTGATGCACCAGAGGCTTCTTGTGGAGTAGCACACGTGAAATTTTCTTTAAACACAGTTCTAGGTATAAATTGAATTCAATGAAAGGATTTTATTTATTGACATTTATCAGAACTTAAATAATGTAAGTTTTCTATGAAATAGGTGAAGTAGTAGATTGCAATACAGAATTGGTAATAGAATCTTTATTTTGTGCTTTAAATGGAGCTGTTACAAATAATCTTGAAACATCTCATTGTTGGGGTAGTCCTCTTTCAGTCGGTGTGCTATTAGCAACAACTCGTACAAATGCTATAGGAATTGCTGTAGATGCTCTTGTAACAGAATGGAGCTTGGATCTCGCCCGATTCCTTGAGCAAGCTTTTAAGTAATTATTTAAATGTATATATTTTTAATATGATTCTTATTATCAATTTTATGTTTATATAATAGGCATTTATTTTCAGATGTTGTAAAAAATATATAAAACCTACAAAAGAAAAAATGAAGAGATCAGAAAATACTACTCAATTAAATCTTAAAGTTACTAATTGTAATATATTTTTTATTGCTGAAAATGAGTTATGTATTATGATGCGCCTTGATACTGCAAGTATGGAGAATAATGTTAAACGACTAGTAGCGGTTGCTGAAGGAGTGAGCGCTATAACTCTCAATAAATATGAACCAGTTGTTTGTCAACATGCACAAGCTTTAACTCATCCATTTTTAGCTATACGAAAATGTAAATGTGCTATTACTTCAGATACTATAAATATAAGTCTTGATGGCACAAGCGTAGCATGGAGTCCTAACTTACATTTACGTCTTTTATTATTTTGGATGGAGTCTAAAGATTTTAGATCAATTATATCCAAAGAAACATTAACAAATGAAGATGTAGGTGCTCAAAGAAAAAAGCGCTTTATAGATTTACTTGCTACTGGAGGAATTACTCTTTCGATTGATATTTCGCCAAAGCATTTCTTAGAACTTTCTTCGGATCAGCTACGTTGGGTACAGGGTGAATGGAAGCTTAATTATATCCGTGCAACATTAGATATGGCTGATATAATTATGATTGAAGGATTTGAATTAGTCAGAGTGTCTAATAATGAAGAAGTACGTTTAGAGAGACAAAATAATGAAGGGTTTTTCTTAGAATGGAATGAAACCTGGGCTCTCAATATTGAATCGGTTAAAGCTTGTTTTCCTTATGAACATCAATTTACTGAAGCTATACAAAATGAACTATTTAGTATTAAGAGATGGTTAAAGGACATTCATTCAACAGGATTGGTTAAACAACAGCATTTGCCATGTGATCTAATTATAAAAGTAAATATGTATATACATATATTTATTATTTATGATAAGTGTACTACTACATCTTTTTTATTATAACTCTATAAACATTTCATTATATTTACATACTTTAAATAATACTATGTATTACAGATTAAAGAATGGATTTTTGAAGTGAGCGATGATCCATTTGAAGTTCGATTAAGGGATAATTATGAACTTTTAGAAGACGAATATAAAGAAAGTTTAAAACGTCAAGCAATGCTGGATGCTAAAGTAGAAGAACTTTGTCGCGCTCATTTACTTCTTCCACAAGGCAAAGTAGAAGAGTTATATGCTAGTCTGAATAAGAAAAATGCAGAAATATATGTACAGAGGTGGAAACAAATGCAACGCGCAGGACCAGCAAGAACAAGATTATTTGCTTGGTCTATGTTAGATTTAGAAATATTGGCCTTAGCTGATCCAACTATAAATGGCACGGAAAATGCAACTAAAGCTATAAGAGAAATGGATCCAGAAACTCCTTGGCCTGAAGATGGTTTAGAATTCAATACACTTTGGGTTAGAGGCGTCAGTTTAAAATGTGCAGAATGGAAATTACAATTGCGAGATTTTCCTCAACCACTGCTATTAGTCGAAAGTCTTAGTATTTGGGGTCGATTAGCTGGTGCGGAAGCTGTACCACCACCTAGAGCTAGACGTACAGTACGAATTGAAATTGGACCACCATGGGATGATATTGTAGTAGAAAGAGGAATGACGTCTCTAAAGTACTATCATGATCTTAATTGGGATATAGATAAATTTAGATATGCATTTGGTCCATGTTGGGAACCAGTAATAGCACAATGTAATCTTAGTTTTGAAAAGATAATTCATCCATCACGAGATCCCAGTCCTCCATTACCATTTTGGGATAAAATGAGATTAGCCCTTCATGGAAGAATAACTCTTTGTGTGAAACAATTAACTGTTTTATTACATGGCTCTTTAGATCCTTATAATACTACAGAAGAAATGGAATTAACATGGACAGGTTTAGAACTTGATTGGACACAAGGAAAAATTATAATAAAAGGAGATTTCGATGTATATGTTCGCACGGCCAGCAAATATGATGATTGTAGATTGTTACATTTACCTAATGTTAAATTAAGTATGAAATTAGCATGGGTTTGCTTAGGTGATCCAAGAGATCATCATGCTGCAATACCTTGTGCTCCAGACAGATTGCCAGAGTATTCTAGCAATCAAGAACACGATTCTTTCCGTGCATTTCGTTCACAAAATTTAAATGTTAGTTTATCTCTAGAAACCAAACCTACTGGATCTCCCACATTGACAAGTGCACCAACAGCTTTGCTTTACGGTAGTACTTTAAGATGGTTTGAGAATTTAAAATTTATATTATCAGGTGCAACAAGGCCTACAAGAAAAGGTCCATTATTTAAGAATATCAGACCAAGAAAAAAACAATTAAGCAGGCACTACAGAAAAGTTAGATTAACATTAGCATTTCACCGTTTTCATGTAAGTTACTGGATGTCTTTTGCTATGCAGAGAGGATTTGAAGTAACTGGTGGAAAGGTAGCATGTAGCTCTGAACATAATCTATCTCTTCATCCAATTGACGATGGCCTCATACACCGTCCAAGAGCAGAATGGTCTGTTATTTATATGAATTGTGAATTGAATGATGCAGAAATTTGGCTTAAAAGTGCATTAGAAGAAGAAGAAGAAAGTACTTCGTTACGACAACCAGTTGAAAAATGTTATTGCCTAAGTGTTGCTCGAGTTAGTTATGGAAGAGAAGCAATGGTCACAGGAGTAAGTGGCGATAATCCAACTCATCGTTTAGCTGTACATGATTTGAAAGGAGCTTGGACTAAAACAAATAGAGATGTTGCATTTGCTCTATTTGATTCATTTATTAAAACACAGCAACTTAAAAAGAATTTATCAACTGCGGCTCTAAAAGGTTTTCACAGAGAAAGTACTTCTACACCACATAAAAATAGAATTAGAACTGTTGAATCAAAAAATACACCTACGCAAACAACACCATCAACATCTTCTAAACTACAACAAGGAGAAGCTGCTGGAATGTTGCAAAGATTAATTGCTGAAGCTGCTAATAAACCAGTAGCATTCAGTGATGATTTATCAGTACAAACAAGAGGTCAACAATTGCGTGGACTTGCAGCGTGCCACCAGGATGACGTTTTACACAAAAATTGGCTTAGTAATATATAATAAGAGATCAGATCTATATTTACATTATTGTATAATTATCCTTATATTATAAATTAATTTCTGTTTATAGTTGCATTAGTGAATAGTCAAGTATTATTGAAAGGAATCGAAACACGCGGATATGTAATTTTATCAGCAGCAAAAGCAGAAATATTACAAAGGGTTCATCGACCAGTATGGAAAGAAAGAACACTTGTTTCAAAAACAACATGGGTTGGTTCTTTAGAATGTATGCAGTATTATGCTACAGTTAGTGCAAATATTGATGATAATATTGATGACAATATTATGTGGTTAACATTGGATAATATACAGGTATATTTCTGCATAATTATCTATTACAAACGATTTCTATTAAAAATGAATTTTACTCATAATAAACAATTTTAGGAAAAAGATTCTACTGTGATAGCGGGTTTACCAGATGTACCAGCACTTGTAGGATCAGGTCAAAGTGTAGGTGGTGTGGTTAGTCAGACTGTTGGTGGTGCTGGTGGACCACAACATCAATTGCAACGTATTGTATCAAGATGTAAATGCGAGTTTTTTTATGTTGGGTATGGTCAAGCTTTAGATGTTGGATCTGTAGATAATATTCTACCACCACCAAGAGAAGAAGTTAGCTTATGGGAAAGAAAGGAATTTTCAGCTGCAGATGCATTTACATTAATGCATCATGATTTAGATGTATGCACAAACTCCTTACAATATGCAATGATTTTGGATATTGTAAATAATCTGTTATTATATGTAGAGCCTCGCAGAAAAGAAGCTTCTGAACGATTACAAAGAATGAGGTTTCAATTACAATTACATTCTGTTGAAGATCAAAAACGACCTATACAACAATTGCAAAATACTGTACGTGGATTAGTTGCTAAATTAAGGAGATTAGAACGTGAAACATATCTAGTACAAAAAGCACTTGCCGAGGAATCAAGTTCTGATTTATTGGTTGAAATGGAGCGATTAGAAGCACGAGTTTTTGAATGTAAAGAACAACTTAGTGCAAAAGCTGAAGAACTTGATGTAATGTTAAGTTGTTATAAAGAAACTACTGCACCACCGAGTGCTTCAACAACATTAAAAGATAAACCAGCAGCAGTGGCAAGAGTTGCAGAAATTTGTTTTAAACATGCACAATGGAGACTTACTGACGCGGATGGTCAGTTAGGTATAGCAGACTTAATTCTGACTAATTTCTTATATACAAAAACAAGTAAAACAGATGATTCGGTGGAACATCTTTTGGAATTAGGATATGTTAGAATGACAAATTTATTACCCAATCAAATCTATACAGAAGTCTTGACTCCGACCGAATTACAAAGTAATATGCCTGTTGATAGGCAAAGAGCTCTGAGAGTGTTTTGTAGAGAGAAAGCACCTGTAGCTGGTATTTCAGTAAAGGAACATTTCGAAATTAATGTAGTTCCTTTAACAATTGGTAAGAAATGAACTCAATGAAAATAATGTAACATTCGATAATTGTTATTATTCGTTATTATATTTTTAGGATTAACAAAAAAATTCTTCAATACAATGCTGAAATTCTGCTTTCCGGAAAGAGATCCGGAAGGGATAGAGGAACCACCAGCACCGCAACGAGATTCATCATTTTATGTACCCATTGAAAGAAGAGATGATGTAGAAAAAATGAAGGAGAGAGCTGATAAAAATAAATTGTTTATATACATTAAAATACCAGAAGTACCTGTTCGTGTATCTTACAAGGTAACATTAATACTATTCTAATATGTGCCATCCACATGATGTCGATTTGGCATATGATGAGTGGTTCAGATATCAATTTAAATCGATATTACAATATTCCAAAATATAATTTGGTCAATTATAGGGCAATAAAGAGAAAAATTTAGAAGACGTTCGAGATTTTGCATTAGTTATACCGACATTAGAATATCATAATGTTACTTGGACATGGCTTGATCTTTTATTAGCCATGAAAAGTGATTCTCGTCGTGTGATATTAAGTCAAGCCATTAAACAAAAATTACAAATCAAACCAAGGGGTCCACAAGAAGAATCAGCTCCTCAGGAGGAAGATAAGGCTCGTCTTCTTTTAGGTACTCGTCATCTTCCTGGTGATGCAAAAAAAAGAAATGTTTTTAAATTTAAATAAGTATACTTTTCGAATTTTGTTCTAAAAATTATTTAATAGTATTTCAATGTATTATTTATTATTATAGAATATTTAAACGAATCTACAGAAACTATATTATGTAAATCAAACTATTTTGTGCGTTACAAAATAGTTGTATATGAACGTATGATAAATATTGTGCGTAGCCTTTTATATGTATATTCGTAGATATTGAATAACTTATTTTGAAGTAGATTTTTAATAAGTACTGAATAAATTATGCTATGCTTCATTTGAATATTTATTATTGTAATATATAATATTAGTCTTTCTATATATTGCTAATAAATACGTATTATATATTTTTTACTGTAAACAGTTAGGAAAAAGTTGAATACACATAATAATGTTTCATGTAATCATGTTTAGTACGTTTATGTAAACGCTTGTACAAAAGAAAAAAACTTATAAATAATAATTCTGCTATAATTATTTTGCAGTATTTGGCAATAAATATTCAATTAATATTTATTATTTGTTATAAATTGGTTGTGTGATATTCATACATGGTTATTGATTTATTCCATGTATTTGCACTATTAAATTATAATAAAATATATGTACATAAATTTTTATATTAATTGTATTGTGTATCACACGTCCTATACGTTAATACTTTATATTGAAATAATTTACAATTAGTATAAACGAAAATTAATTTAAATCCGTATGTAAATAAAAACAAAGAAAAGTGTTTTCGTATTAACATTAAACTTATTTAACACTTCTAATACATTAATACATTTTTTATATAAATATTTACAATTTATCAATGCCATTAATTAGAGAGTTATCAATGGTGCTTCTGCATTTTTTTTTTCATGTCTCCATGCATTTAGATCTGCCAAAATTCTTCTCCCATATGCCGTATGTAATTCTCTAAATGTAATTCTTGTACGAGGTACATTTTCTGTTCTACCAGGTGCAGATCTAACACTCTGAGAACGATGATGAGATTCTGGTTTGTTAAAGGGATTATGTCTTTGTCTTGGTGGTGCTTTAGGTGACTGAAGTGGTGGAGTTACTGTTTCAACTTCTTCTTCCGCAGCATCTAATTGCCGTTGTAATTCTGCTACCATCAACTTCATATAATCATAACTGGCACATGCCAAAGCTTTCATCCATTGTTCCATTGATTCCTAGAGGTAATGAAATTTTGATAGATACGATTATAATTATTTAAATAAGTACTAAAGAATATTTATATTATTTTATAATTTTTATATAACAGATAATTTACTTGTGACTCAGCTGCAAGTGCATAACTTCTATTATTTGGACCATGGAATACAATTTTGAATCCAAACTGTTCTTCGTCTTCTGTCAATTCGATAGTACACCCCTCAAGGACAATCATACCTACAGGTTCTTTGTCACCACGTCGATCAAAATAAAATAATATGTTTCCTTTAAGAACAAACCATCTTCGTTGATATCCTCGATTAACTTCACCGCGTTTATTTAAACAACCCTCTTTATCTATCGGTGTTGCGGATGTTGCAAATGCAACCATATTTTTTTCGTTGATTTTCATTTTTCTCTATGAATTATTACAGGTAAAATTACAACAATATTATATTAGGATATAATACGATAATTATTCAAAAATATAAGACGCGCGACTTAAGATTAAGAAAAGGTTTTAAAGTTGACCGAATAGATCGATCCATTTAAAATAATATTTTTAATAATGTTCGATAAAATCATTATTAAAAAATTATAATTCTATGTTTAACATATTCCATTTGATATACTTTATTTCATATGAAATAAAATAATTACAAATAATGCACTGATTACTTGTACGTCAAATGTAAGCTAACAACATTGACAAGGAGTATCGATGTATAGGTTAAGTTACGTCACATTTCCTTTTTCAGCTGACGCACGAGTCAAATGAAATATTAAAAAAAAAAAAAAAAGATGTTAACATTATTTTACTTTATCTTTAAGATAATAATAATTAAAAAAATTCTAAACTTAATTAAATAAGAGATTATGTTATTTAGTAAAAGAAAAAAAAGGGAAAAAAATTATAACATTATTTTTTCGTACATATGAAAATAATTTAGTTTAAAAATGACTAGGTAGTTTCTTAAAAATTTTATAATGGCTGCCGATATCAAATGCCATTCAGTGGTACATTATTAAAAAAAAGTCTTGAAAAAGAGAATTTAGAAATAAAGAATTTTTTTCTTTTCATTCGAAATTAATTGTATAGTTAATTAGAGTAAACATGGGGAAAGGATTTAATAATTATATGTGTAAAAAATTTTTCCATCCAGCTTCGAGAGATAATTTAAAACGAGTGCGTACAATTTTGTTAACCTTTCTTTTTTTTTTTAATAAGAATCTTACTTGTTGTGTTTATGTTAGTATTAATGTCGATTAATCTTATAGGTATGGATGGCAGAACAGCAAGCTGAAGCTTATAAGAAAAAGCAAGAAGAATTACGTGTTCAATATGAGAAAGAACAAGATCTTCATAATAATAAGTAAGTTATCTGATATTATAGATAAGGTATAATTATTAAAACAATACAAATTTAAGATTTAACTTTATTTCAATTGCATTTTTATTTTATTGCACTTTTCAATTAAATAAATAAATAAATAAATATAATATAATATAATATTATTTTACAGAGCACTGTTAAGTAAAGAGAGTAAAGATAAATTAAGTGTTAATTTTATGTATGAGCCTCCTCCTGGAGCAAAGAAAGAAAGAGAAAAAGAAGATAACGAACCAGAGTATAAATTTGAATGGCAACGCAAGTATAATGCACCAAGAGAAAGTTATTGTAAAGGAGATAGTGAAATTCGTGACCAACCTTTCGGTATTCAAGTTCGAAATGTTAGATGTATTAAATGTCACAAGTGGGGCCACATAAATACAGGTTTGATAACCTATTTAAGTTTATCTTTTAAAGATATCTCATTAATTTATTAATTAATTTATTTCATTATTTTATATTATTTTTAGACAAAGAGTGTCCTTTATATAGTCAAGCAATGAGCGTAGTAATGGCAAATAATTCAAATGTACCACAGACACCTGATGCTTTGACTTTGGTGCAACAAATGCGAGAAGATGGATTAGCGCTTAAAAAGTACGAAAAATATGAACATTTGAAATTATTGATTAATTTCAAATGTATTATTTACTAATATTATATCTTTATTTATATATAGATCAGCATTGGAAGCACAACAACATTTACGGGTACCTGGCCATGAACATTTGATGATTTCTGACGATGAAGAAAATTCTGAGATTACATTCCTAAAAACTCTTTCAAAGGAAGAAAAAAAGAAATTATTAAGGTAAAATATAACTGTGTGTGTGTTTTTTTTTATTAACACAATGCGTACGGTGGATGGATGCACGTTGAGCAAGTAGAATAATGCTGTACTCAATGTGTTAATATAAACTATAAATATATAATTTAAGTAACATGGAATAATTTTGATGAAAACTTATACTTTTGTTTGTATAGAAAACTTCGAAAGCTTGAGAAGAAAAATATGAAAATAAAGCAAAAAAAATTGAAGAAGAGGAAAGTTCGAAATAGTAAAAAATGTCGCAGTAGTAGTAGTAGCAGTAACAGTGAAAGTTCAAGTGATAGCAATTGTAAAAATAGCAACAAAAATGTCAGTGCAAGTAGCAGCAGCAGCAGCAGTAGTAGTAGTAGCAGCAGTAGCAGCAGCAGCAGCAGCAGCAGTAGCAGTAGTAGTAGTAGCAGTAGTAGTAGTGACGAATCCAGCACAGAAAGTAATAGAAAGAAATTAAAACGTAAAAGGAAATCACAAGGAAAAGTAGAGACAAATTCCCATGGAAGACATAATTCTAATCGACATAAGGATAAAGAACGAAAAACAAAGCATAAGTTGGATGATAAATATAAATCAAATAATAAAATGAAGGATGAAAAAAGGAACAAGGAAAAGATGACCATTGAACATGACAGTCGTAAAAGGAAAAATAATGAATCACACAGCGATAACAAACGTAAGAAACACGGCGAAAGAAAGTAAAAACCATTTTTATTTGGAAGAATTAAAAGAAACAAAACAAAACAAAAACAAAATAATAAAAATAGATAAGTATCATTAATATAGAAAACAATTATATGATTATTAAATTTGTATTTTTACATTAAACTATATATTTTATTGTATAAGAATAATAATTCATTTTGTTTTTTTCGTTGAGAAGTAGATGAATATTTACTTAAAAAGAAAAAGAAAAAAAACACCTTTTATGCGATGTAAGTTATATTACTGTATAATTGATCATTGAAATATGTTAAATATATATTATTACAACTGTTATTTATTAAAATAGAAATATATATTTTCCTTGTCAACGAAATGGATGATAATCATCAACGTTATATAAATAAGTACTTATAAAAGATAAACATATGACATTATTATTATCGAAAATTTTTGGATTTCTATCTTTCTGTGAATGGATAAAATATACAAAGCACATTTATTATTTCACAGTAAAATACGTTTATTTACTACACTTTGTACCTTTCAAATATATTCCATCTTTTGACATAGAAGTGTGATAAGAATATTATTTAAATTGTATTTGCAAAGTAGTGTCATTTCATTCTTATTAATTTAATATCAAGAAAGTATGTTAATGATAACAATTTTTTTTTTTTTACTTAGATTAAACTTTTTTTCTTTTTTTTTTTTTCATTTTCTTTCTGTCTTCTATTTTTCCCCCTTTTTTTCTTACTTTTAAATAGAATAAAGTATAAATATCAAACTGTAACACTACCTGAGAACAACAACTATGAATATTGGGCAGTTAAAATTCTGTTTGAATATTAATTAATTTGTTCATAATTATTGTATCATTAACTAACGACATTATTATCTCATATTTCACAGAACTGTATCCAGTGAGCAGCTACATAAAACATACGATGCATAACTCCTGTTTTACAATATTTTATCAAATTATATTAAGCATAATTATTAGCGTTGATATTTTGTAGCATAAAGTTTATATTTTTATTATAACACGATGAAATATTGATTTGATGTATATATATATTAAAACATGCTTTTTTACTCGTTAAACATTAGTTTCAAGGATTATTATTGATAATAATCTAACATCTAATTTTAGATATAAATTGTTATATAGAAGGAGAATTAATTTTTAATTTTGTTAATTTGTATTTATCTTAATTTGAATTTTTGTTCTTTATATTTACGTTAAATAGAATAGCATTTATATATTAAAATTTTATCATATATTCAATTTCATATATATATATATATAAACATATATTATTATTATTTCTAATTAAAATGAAGAATAATCGAAAAACCAACACATAGTGATATGTAAAATACATATTTCATTATTATGTATATACTTCAAATTTATATTTCATCATTTCAGTAATTATATGTTCTATAAAAGCAACATATAATTAACATTACTGCTTCTGTAGCAAAAAGTTAATATTTTATCATCAATTTCTGTCACATATATATATATAGACATATATATATATATGACAGAATGTATATATATATATATATTTATAGAAACTGAAAAATTAGCTAAATGTGCATGTTGGACCATTATAGCATTATTGCATAACCAATTTTTCATAGCAGAAATATTAATTCTGCAATATAATTTTGGAAGTTCAATAATGTCTTATAAGTTAGCATTATTAAACACTGGCCACTATAAATGATTTGGTAGTCGACCAACGTCCATCATTTCAGTATCTTCTATGTTATTGTGCCCTACTATATGATGCCTAAAAATCAGCATGTATCAATTGTTTGCCAATTATATTCATATTATATAAAAAAAATAATCAAATAAATATATTAGCAGAAACATTAATTTTCATTTTTAGGATTGGCACCCTTTTGAGTTATGTTCAAATTCTAATTATAGTGAACATATTATTATTTCTATTTATTTATACAAAAATATATTTGTGGCTAGTAAAAATATTGAAAAAAAATAAAAGGAGAATAAATGTTAAGTAAATATTTTTTATATCGTATATATAGTGCCAGCCCTACATGTATGTTATTTTATCTATCAATAGATTTTATAATGCTCTACAATCCTGAGAAATAAATGTGTATTTTAATTATTTAGATATAATTTACCTAAGTTGATGAAATTGAGAAGGCGTATGATGGTGCGTTTCTGGAGTCCTTGGTGATAAACTGTGAAGACTTCCACTAAAACCAGTACTTAAAAGTTCTCTGCGAGGACTTCTGGCATTTATAACTCTTGGTTGTGCATAAATTTCTTCTAAAACACTTGGCGCCACATATGTAAAACCCTATATAAATAAGATGAACATTTGTATAATATTTTTTCTAATGAAAATCTTCGTAAACATTTTCATTGTATTTTGTATTAGTACACTTACTTGAAATATCATATTTGCGGATTCACTTAAAGTACTTTCAACAGGTGAATCTACCGGAATGGTTGCAGTGAATTGTTCATCAAATTGAGATGTATCATCTGCACTTTTCTACAAAATTATTATTACTGATACATTATCAAGAATTATGTTGCATAATACTATCTAAAATACAAATGAAATAAGTTTAAAAAGAATATTTACCAACGATGGCTTAAAAGGAGGCTCCAATTTACGTGAAATAACATCTTCCCAACTAATGTGTTTAAAAAAATTATGATTTATTATTTGCTCTGCATCATCAGGCCCAGATCCTAATCTTTGACCAACTTGTCTCTATAAATATTTCAAAATATATATTAAAGTAATTTATTATAAAACATTAATTATAATTATTGTTAAAAACCTTTAACAGTTTACGAATTAAATCTCTTGCATCGGGTGTAAGATACTGTGGAAGACATAATTTTCCTCTTAATATTTTTTCAATTGTTTTTCTTCTATCATCACCGGTGAATGGAGGCTGTCCAAATAAATTTGATATCAATCATATATATATATATAGTTTTTATTATATTTCAAATATCATGTAGATAATATATATTAGGTAACCACAACTATTATCCATAATACTGTACCATCCCTGTGAGCATATCAAACATTAAAGCACCTAAACTCCACCAATCAACAGCTTTTCCATGGCCACTTCTTGTTAAAATCTCAGGAGCCCTAAATTTTATAATTAATATCAATAAAATAATTAAGAAGTTCTATTTATTGAAAAAATAGATGATCAATACTTGCATGTATTCTATTGTTCCACAGAATGTATGAGTTACTGTACCATCTTGTATATGTTCTTTACAAAGACCAAAATCTGTTAATTTTACATGACCTTCTCCATCTAATAAAATATTTTCTGGTTTTAAATCTCTGCAAGGACATCATTTTATATTGAAATATATTATATAAATGTACTAAATATTGTAAACAAAAAAAAAAAACAAAAAATTACTTATGTGAGATATTAAATATACCTATATATTATTCCTTGATTATGTAGATGTTGCAGGGCAAGTATGATCTCGGATAAATAAAAACTGTAAAAATGAAATATATAATACAATATATAGCGCATTAAAGTGAATCTGTATACACATGAAGAAATGACTGTAATATTAATTGAAAAAACAATATAAAACATACCATGCTGTATCTTCTAAAAATATGCCTTCTCGATCTAAATATGTAAACAGTTCTCCACCGCATAAATATTCCAAAATTAAATATAATTTTCCTCCAGTTTGAAAGGCATACATTAAATTAACAATGAATGGATGCTGTAAGAATATTTTATATATAAAAAAATATATATATGATTAAAATGGCAAAACATTTAATCAATCTATTTACCTTGACAGCTTCTAATATATTTCTCTCTGCTTTAGTATGAGCTGTATCTTTTTGATTTCTTATAATAGATGCCTTACGTAATACCTGACATAAAATATAAAAATTTTGTTATCGTTGCTTATTTATTCTCATTGTTTCAATACGGTCATGAATTTTAAGCGATCCTTTTTTGATTATTGATAGTATTATATTTATGATCCAAAGATAAAAACAACTATCTTACTAGTCATAATAACTTTTCCTTACTTTCATAGCAAAGATACTGCCTTTATCTTTGCCTGTAACTTTTCTAACTTGAAAAACTTTTCCATATCCTCCTTCGCCAAGAATTTTACACAATTCAAAATCCTGAGGGCCAGTTTTCTCTTGTCCAGGATTAACATTTTGTTCTGACAATTGTACTCTTTCCAAATTATCAGATCTAAACACATGTATTTAATTAAATAATAATTTATATATTAAGATTGATATATTATTTATTAACAATATATATATATATATATAACTTCAATTACTATTCAAACATTCTTATTTACATATGTGTATAATTATTTGAATCTAAGCTTAATAATAACATACCACATGATAATATGTTGACTTAATATGTATACTTACTCTAACATTGTGTCAACATTAGAAGCATGACTATATTCTACCTAAAAGAGAATAAAACACGTGTGTTTGAGAAAGCAAGATGAAATAATCAAATTGAGAGAAAATATTAGAATAAACGATTGTTAGTTCGATTAAAAAGATAAATTACCTCTCTGGTTTCAATAACATCGTCATCAGATTCATCATGATTTACGTTATCGTCTTCGTGCAATTCAATATCGAATACTCCAGCCATTATTTTGTTTTTTTTTCTCTTACTGTGAAAATTTATAAATAGTACATAACGAGTAAAGATAAATAATATTTAACTTGGAGAATGACAAATAAGCTCGATTAGATTTTTTTTTTTTCTTTCTTTTTTCGTTTTCTTGTGTAAGTGCGTATACGCGTTGTGTTTCGTTTCACTCTACTTTGTAACTAGGGTTAATATAATAACAAGTTAAATTTTACGTATGTATGGATTAACATGAACGTATTGTACGCGTAAAATGTAATAACACTATCGCGAAAGAAAATGTTTATTTCATTACTTCGATTCTTATGACGGCCTTTTATGACACTTTACTATTTGAAGGAAAAAAATCAGTGTATATATAAACACGTGAAGCTTCTTAAACTGACTGAAACTATACGACTATGTATATCGAACTGACTCGACAATATCCATATGCATACAACATATTATGGAATAACGTACAGAGATACTTTCTCAAAAACAGATTTTGTCAATATTCACGAAAATGTGTTCAAGTAATTAGTAATAATAATATTTTTATAAACGATTATATTAAATATCTATTAAAATTCAATTAATGTTACATACTAAATATTAGTGCAATTCAATCATCAATCTAATCTTCAATTATATAAGAAAATTGAACTTTTATTTTATTTGATTTTTTTTGATCGAAGTGTAGTATTTTATACACACATACGTATACATATATAATTTCGTGTAAAATATACGTCGTTAATACTTAATAAAATATTTTCTAAATTGTTGATATATATATATATATATATATATATATATATATATATATAGTTGATTATAATAATATGACTATAGTAATAAATCATTTACATTAATAAAATATTTCTATGTTATTTAATAAATATAATTCATTATTGCAATTAAATATTTTATAAATATTGTAATATGTATAATCAAGATGTTTTTTAACATTTTTATTTCTACTACCATAACTTGTTTATTCATTAAAACAAAATTTACGAGTCAAATTTATATTTATATATATATATATATATAATACTACATAATTATACTACATAATTATACTAAAAAATTTACATTTTTATGAAACCTAATAGTTGTTTGTTAATTTAAAAAAATTAATTTTTAAATCTAAAGGCGAAGATTGATTCTTAATTTTAATTGGACAATCCATATTAGAACTGTCCAATCAGAATACTAGACAGTTTACATAGAAATTTATTGAAATTAAAAGATTAAATTATTTTACTGTAATTATATATAGTTACTAGTTACTTTTATGTTCATCTTATTCCTATGATGATTATTATCCTTACTAAATTCACATTAAACATAATTAATAATATTTTAATATAGTGTACAAAATGCTGCATCATAAATTATTAAACCAATGAAAACGTACCTTCTCAAATGATAACAAAAGTTGTTTATACAAACGGATGACAAATGAATATTAGTTTGTTTAATAATTTTTTAATTCATGATAAAAAAGAACAAGAGAAAGTGATGAAGTGTGAGACAGAGAGAGAGTGAAAGAGAGAGAAAGAGAATAATGCTAATTATAATTGTAACGTTTTTCTGTAGATGGCAGTATCATGCAAAAATTTCATTTTCTATTGGGTGTATCATGTGTGTATTATCACGTTTTGCAGCACTTAAGATTTAAGAATATGATGAAGATGGCATGATTATTGCGATACTGACACAATAGATTTATATAAAATATCTATTTTAATCAGCTATTTTATGTATATATAAATCAAATTCATAATCATTTCTTTATGGAAAAAGGTTAAGTTTGGTAATGTCATAGAATATTTGTATTAATGTTTTGATTTTTCTAATAAATGTATAATACTTATTGATAGGCAAACAAAGATAATATACAAAGGTATGAAATATACGTTATGAGAGTTTAAAATATATATATAATAAAAAAAATGACCTATTTGAAACCCGTTAGGTTATGTACATATGTTTAACCATAGATTATCGTTACTCAGATACTGGTGTTTCGTAACAAAGATAACACAAATTATCTATTTATATGTAGGCTTTTTACTGTTGTTTTACAAACGTAAAGACATTTTATGTTTTAATCTTATTCAAGACGTTTGTAAAGTTTAGTTTCTTGAGGAACGGTAATATAATAAGTATATTATAATTATTAATAGTGTTGCCAAAATGCCTGGAAAAATTGTTGTCGTTGGTTCATGTATGATAGACTTTACTTGGTAAGTTTATAGATCATATATATATATATATTTAAAATCATAAAATACATATATTTTTGTTGATTTAATATATCATCTATAGTTTAAAGAAATTCAACTGATTGTTGTTCATAAGTTTTTGCAGACAACGTATTTATAATTATATGATTATTTTCTTATGTTTAAATACATAATTTTATTTGCATTGTAATAGTTAACAAACAAAGAAGAAGATTTTAGTTATCGATGAAGAAAACTATACGATAACATAATTAGAAATTATTTTCCAAAATTCTAGATATTAATATTCATTTTCTAGCTATGCACCTCGCTTACCAAAGCCTGGAGAGACAATATGTGGTTACAAATCTAAAATAAAACTTGGTGGGAAGGGTGCTAATCAATGTGTGGCTGCTGCTAAACTTGGTTCAACTACAGCGCTTATTTCTGCAGTAATATTTCTTGTTTCTTTTTTTTTCTTTTTGTTGTAATTGTATAAGTTCTTTTTTTTTTTTTTTATTTGTCTCAAGCGCATAGTTAAATGTAGATTTGTTAATCTTTTATTTGTCAATTTTGAGAGTTGAACTTGTTCATCTACATAACGTCTACATAATCTGATTTTTAGTTTAATTTTAACGATAACTCTTTAACAATATTTATTTCAAATGCACGGATAATAATTGATAATTATGCAAATTCTTTATTATTATTATTTTAATTGATTTATTGTTTTTTTTTTTTTATCTTTCAATACAATAGTTGGGCTGCGACTTTTTTGCAAAAAATTATTTGGACGCATTGAGGGAATTACATGTAGATACTTCTTTTGTTAAAGTTCATGAGAATGCAGACAGTGGAAAAGCTCATATTACAGTTGCTAAAAATGGTATGTCATATTAAAGAAAAGAAAAATGATGATATATATCTCTGTGTTATCTTTATTATATAAGATGTTTAAGATAACATAATAATCATGATTGTGGAATGGTAAATTATCTTTATTTTTTCAAACGTCATACTTTACACAATGAAAATTCAATACATTATCACCGTTAAACAGTCAAAAAGATATGAGCGAATTTTATGATCTTATATAGGGTGGATCAAAAGTTTTTCAATAAATTCTAAATTTCTGGATAGATTTAAAAAAATCAATTAATCGTTTCACGAGATGTCTTAAGCTAGTAATTTTACAATATGAAATTAAAGAAATATTTTTAAAAATGTTTCAAAAAAGAATAATTAATTTGTAAAATGATCTAAAAAGTTTTGATCAAAGTAGAGACTTTGGGTTAATCCTATGACCATAAAAATCGGTCGTAAAGAGAAATAATGATGACGTTGAAATTGACGAACGCGTAAAAATGAAATAAATCATAATAATTTTCAAATGCATTCGTTTATAGGGGAAAATAGTATAGTAATCATACCAGGAGCTAATGATTTGATAAGTGTTGAACAAGTTAAAAAAGCTACCAATTTAATTGAAAATGCATCAGTGTTATTATGTCAATTCGAATCACCAATAGACGCTACTTTGCAAGCTTTACGAATTCATCAAGGACATGGTTCGTTTTTATATTTACACATTATTATTTCATAGGAATTTGATGAATTATTTCAATGAAGCGAAAAGAAAAAAACAAACAATTAATGAGACTTGTAACGATGCTATAGGATATTCTATTGTGAATGGTGCACCAGCTATTAAATCTGTCAATCCAGAGATTTTTTCATTATGCGACATATTTTGCGTTAACGAGACCGAGGTGGGTTTAAAAGAAATTTCTAAGAACAATGTGTGTGTGACGTGGGTTAAAGTTTGACGATAAATAACAAATAGAAAGAAAGAAAGCAAGAAAGAAAGAAAGAAAGAAAGAAAGAAAAAGAGAAACGATTCGTAAATTGAATTTGATTTTTATTTTTATTAGAAAACAATAATTTGTATTTTTCCAGGCAGAAGTTTTAACAGGAATTTATCCTGTGAAGATATCGAATGCTGATTTGGCAGTCAATTCTTTACTTGGTCAGGGATGTAAATCGGTTATAATTACTCTTGGATCGTCAGGTGCAGTTTTTGGATCTAATGATACAGAAGAAATAATTCAAGTTAATACAGTGTCCGTTTGCCCGGTTGATACTACCGTACGTTAAATCAAAATTAATATATTTATTTTATTTCATTTAAATGAATAAATTAAGAATCACGTTTATATTGCTACATTTCATATTTCAAATATGAAATGAAAATGGCATTGATACGAAGGTAAAATTTCTTTTTGTTTTTGTTTCTTTACTGCTTAAATTTATACGTAAAAGAAAAGTAAAAGGAAAAATAAAAAGAAAAATAAAAATAAAAATAAAAATAAAAAGAAAAAGTAAGAAAAAGAAAAAGAATCGCATAGGACTCATTATAGTCAGTTTAAAATTCTCGCTCTATATCGTGGCGCTCGCATTAATTAATACGTAAATGACTAAAGCGTGCGAAGAAAACAAGAAATAAACATTTAATCCCTTCATTAAATTTTATTACGCAGCCAAGGGAGTAGTCCGTTTTAAAAGTATGAATGCGCTTGCGCGCCAAAGATTCGAAATTCACTCGAGCTTTTTTCACGTCGTCGTCGACGACGACGACGACGACGACGACGACGACGACGACGGTGGCGGCGAAAGGAGAGCGTTTTATTTTATGTTATAATTTTACTTGGATAATTAAATGGATAAAACTTAAGTAAACGTAGTCATAAAAAGTACGAGAAAAATATCGTGGGCTTATAAAAAAAAAATTCAAATTAATTAACAATATTTTAAAAAAAATGTAACATTATCGGAAGAATGAACTTTTGCTTTAAGTTGATTTCATTTATAAGGATATAATAATTAGTTTATGAATTACTGAAGAATATCTTTTTATTGTTTCATATAGGGTGCAGGAGACGCATTTCTGGGTGCTTTAGCTTTCTTTCTAGCATATTGTCCACACTTTTCGATGAAAGAATGTATTGAGAGAGCTTGTAAGATTGCTACATTGAGCGTATTGAAAGAAGGTACGCACGACAGTTTTCCAAAAAGAGATGAACTTCCAAGCTCCATGTTTAAATAATATATGTATTTTTAATATATATATATATAGTATAAAAATGATGTATATTTAAATGCCATATTTGTGATAATAAAATAAGCAGTTGTATTTGTTTAGATTTCTTTTTGATTGATAATAAAATGAAATTTTTTTTATGTCGAGAAGAAGAATATCTATAATATTATCTTGAGAAAACTCTCACAATCTTTTAAATTATCTTGTCTCGCGAGACAAAGTTAAAAAAACAAAAAAAAAAAAACAAAAAAGAAGAAAATCATTTTAGTAAAACCACGGTGTTGTCTACCGGACACTTTTCTGGGAATTTATTTGTTAAAAGTAAAGTATAACCCCCTCTAAAATAATTATGACAATTTTACCATGAAAGATTCGTCAATGCGTAATTGTATTAATCGATTTTATGATTTATATCAATTTTATAGGATGATTAAAATGGAACATGTGAATCTCAAGAAGGGGAAATAGGTTTAGACTATTGGAAACTAACCCCCGAATTTTTCACGCGGAAAGAGAAATCGTTGGATCGATTGCGGATGCACCGCGTCGGTGGTCCCTTTTTTCCGAAACTCTTGTGGTTTAAGAGGGTTGGAGAAAGAGAAGGAGGATGAGAAGAAGAAGAAGAAGAAGAAAACGAAGAAGAAGGGGATGAGAGGGAGAAGGGATAAAGGGTTGCGTTAGGAAAACGTAGGCGTAGCTACTAGCTTGATAGGACATAATCGGCGGAAGGGGTTAGCGGACCTGGAGATTTTGTATTTATTGTACATATTCGAGCTCTGTGTCTGTATTTTTTCTCTCTTTCTCTTGAACAGAACCGAAGCAAGGTTCGACGAGCGCATCGACTCGTATAAGGGAGCTATTTTTTCTCTCTTTTTCTCTTTCGTTATCTCCCTCTTTCTGGACCTATTGGTGAGGGGTATCTCTACGTATTTCGAAGACTATCAATCATTGGTAACCTGTAAAGGATCTAATTATCCTGGAGCTGACTGGGCTCTCCGTTCGGTGCACCCGCCACCGCTCGTCTTGTCCACCCTTTCCAGCCCCTCTGGCCCTTCCTCGTGATGGTGCCGGCGTCAACCCACCCTCCTCCTCTTCCTCTTCCTCTTTCTCCTCCTCCTCCACCACCTCCCGATCTCTTCCGCTACCAAAACCCTCTTTTTCGCTCTAACAGCCACCCTTTTCCGCGAGAGATGGGTGGAAGGAAAAAGAGAGAAAGAGATAAAAAAAGAGAAAAAGGAGGGAAAAAGAGAGAAAAAGAGAGAGAAAGATAGTGCACGGTCGTTGAGAGGGACGGAGAGGAAGACTAGGACGAGAAAGAGGAGGAGGAATAGGAGGAGGAGGAGATGGGGGTGGAGGTGGAGGAGATCGGTGTATAAAGCGAGTACAAGCTCATGTATATGTGTGTGTGTGTGTTTGTGTGTGTGCGTAAGAGCTCAAAGAGTGCTCCCGCCTCGACAGAGGCTGCTGGTGTCGGTGAGCCGGTACTTTTTTTCGTACGCGCCGTTGTACGTCCGTGTGGGCGCGCACGAGCCCAGGTGTATAATAGTGGAGAACGAGAGAGAGAAAGAGAGAGAGAGAGAGAGAGAGAGCAAAAGAGACAGACGTAGAGTAAGGGAGAAAAACGAGAGAGGAAAAAAGAAAGAGATAGGTTGGGTAGTTGGTTAGGTGGCCCGGTCGATATATCAGGGCTCCGCTGCTGCAGCTGTCTGTCAGGCTCGCGAACTCGGCGCTAGACGACGAGCTCGGGGTCTAGAGAAAAAAGCGCTTTGCTCTCTCTCTCTCTCTCTTTCTCGCTTTCTCCCTTCCATGCGCTCCTTCCTGCTTCTCTCTCTTTCTCTCTCTCTTTCTCCTCCCTCCCACCATGCTTCCGTGGGGTAATTTTTCATCGTTGCAGCGGACGACAGAAGCGCCGCGACGGCGGAGTCGGCGTTCTCCCGCGTACATATATATATATACATACGCATATACATATATATATATATATATTATATATAAAAAATATATATATGTTTTGTGTATGTGTAAGTATATACAAAGTTCTATATTTTTCTATATCTTTTTATCCTTTTCTCTAAATTTTGTTGTCTCTATCTCTCTCACTCTCTCTCTATCTCTTTCTATATATATATATATATATATATATATATATACGCGCGCGCGTGCACAATTGTACACGCAACGCGCAAATGGTTAATGTCCTTGCGCGTGCACCTTGTTGGATAAGCTCGCAAAAGGGGACATCCCTCTTTCTCACCCCGCGAAGAATTCACTTCGGACGAGGGAGGGGTGTGTCGACTAGAAAACTTGATTCAAAAATTTGAAAAAAGAAAACAAACTAACTTATTCGCTTAGAAAACTTGTGAAACTCGACAAAATTTTCTTTTACGAAACTTATTTATCAAATGTATTACTCTCATTTGACAATATGTAGATAATTTTTTCTTTTTTTTTTTTTATGATCACACCGATACAATTTGTTTTTTTAAATGAACTCTTTTATGGTTTGTTAAATGCATATTTAATAGAGTAGAATTTCATTCAAATTTACGTTAGATAAAAGTTAGGAGGAAAATACGAAGTTCAATTGAATGCATTAAATAACATTTTGGACACCCTTATTTTAAAAAGAAAATTAAACTATTCACAAGTTCATTGGGGTGTATAAGGAAAACTAAGAAATTTTAAGCATCCTATTCAATGGTGCCTATTATTTTGACCCCTTCCCTCTCTCTTCTCATTTTCTCAACCTAATAAAATATATCAATTTACAGTATATATTATAATTATTCTATAAGAAACAATTTTCCAAAAGAGTTTCGCGTATTCATCTTGACACACACGGAATTAAAAGGATTTTTCGTAGGTCCTCGTCAATTTTTGGAGATCTACTTGCACAAGAGAGAAAGAA